ATATATATATTCCTAGAGAGAAACTCAACGCTTGTACTATTATGTGCTTAACACATGCAGACAGAGATTTGTGCTGAAACTAGACTGTCTTGATTTGTTCTGCATTGTGTCAGATTTACTTCATGCCTTTTAAAGAGAAACTTATACTGGTGCTCTTTCAACTGTACAAACCGATTTCAGAAAATGTTCTGGGTGCATCCAAAAACCAAATGTCATCTCATTTCTACCGATTGTCCTGGGATATGTCTTAAAACCGCCTCCTTCCAATAGCGTGAGCATATTACATCTGTAATTACAAGTTAATTGTTCGAATATAACTGGTAGTAGAATAACAACTAGTAGGTATTACGTGAGTTTGCAACAATCAGACTTCCTTTTGATCTGATTGCCAAATGGCAGTCTTTACTAATTGAGGAGGTGACGTGAAGCAGCAGGACATTCATTTCTTTATTTTGTGTTTGTTTCATCTGTACCCTCAAATAAAAATGCCTCATCAAAGCGTTAGTCACAATGCGGTCTGCTAGACAAGTGCTTTGTAACCAGGAATGTGTGTATCGACCCTTCTGTTCAAGTGAAGTGAGGACAATGATTTGTTCATGTCGGACATGAACAGCGACGCGAATTCCATTGTTAACAGCACTGACATGCCTTTTGTAATTGTTGATGTTTTCATTTTTTTTCTTGGTGTTTGATATAATAGCAGTTGGTATCAATGATGCTTTTATTATGACAAGATTCAGATCAAGTTTTAATACTCTTAAACAGGCAGTGTGGTGCTCTCCTAGACTTAAAATGAGGAAAATGCAGCTATTGATTAATACACTTCCTGTTGTGCTAGAGGAGGGGAAAGGTTTAATAAACTTCAACACAGGCTCTCTTGACTTTTTGATCTGAATATATACTTCCTAGTTGGCTGGAGTGGCAATGTGTGTGGGAGTGAGAATAATATTGGGTAGTGAATATTGTTACTTCAGGATTCAACAGGCTGTTACAACACACCCTACTTTTTAATATGTCCACTGAAGAACTAAGCCTATGATCTCTCTGGCAAATATGGATGAATTATATTGAATACTGTAGTGCAGTATACTGCTCTATAAATTTTCTCAATGCATAACTTTACAGTTAAGACTGTTTCACATACCAAGACTGAATCCTGCAAAGTATCTCACTCAGGAACTTATCAGATATCTTAAAATGCTATAACACTTAAATAATGTATATGTCCAACTTATCTTTAAACTGGGGCTTATGTTTCTCCCTTTCTCAGGACCAGGGACCGCATTTATATTTTGATGTAACTTGAAAATTTGTTTTGGTGCTTTGAGTTGACAAACTGCCTTAGATATACGTTTGCCCACTGACAAAGAAATGATCAGTCTAATTTTAATGGTAGGTTTATTTGAACAGTGAGAGACAGAATAACAACAAATAAATCCAGAAAAACGCATGTCAAAAATGTTAGAAATTGATTTGCATTTTAATGAGGGAAATAAGTATTTGACCCCTCTGCAAAACATGACTTAGTACTTGGTGGCAAAACCCTTGTTGGCAATCACAGAGGTCAGACGTTTCTTGTAGTTGGCCACCAGGTTTGCACACATCTCAGGAGGGATTTTGTCCCACTCCTCTTTGTAGATCTTCTCCAAGTCATTAAGGTTTCGAGCCTGACGTTTGGCAACTCGAATGTTCAGCTCCCTCCACAGATTTTCTATGGGATTAAGGTCTGGATACTGGCTAGGCCACTCCAGGACCTTAATGTGCTTCTTCTTGAGCCACTCCTTTGTTGCCTTGGCCGTGTGTTTTGGGTCATTGTCGTGCTGGAATACCCATCCACGACCCATTTTCAATGCACTGGCTGAGGGAAGGAGGTTCTCACCCAATATTTGACGGTACATGGCCCCGTCCATCGTCCCTTTGATGCGGTGAAGTTGTCCTGTCCCCTTAGCAGAAAAACACCCCCAAAGCATAATGTTTCCACCTCCATGTTTGACAGTGGGGATGGTGTTCTTGGGGTCATAGGCAGCATTCCTCCTCCTCCAAACACGGCGAGTTGAGTTGATGCCAAAGAGCTCCATTTTGGTCTCATCTGACCACAACACTTTCACCCAGTTCTCCTCTGAATCATTCAGATGTTCATTGGCAAACTTCAGACGGGCATGTATATGTGCTTTCTTGAACAGGGGGACCTTGTGGGCGCTGCAGGATTTCAGTCCTTCACGGCGTAGTGTGTTACCAATTGTTTTCTTGGTGACTATGGTCCCAGCTGCCTTGAGATCATTGACAAGATCCTCCCGTGTAGTTCTGGGCTGATTCCTCACCGTTCTCATGATCATTGCAACTCCACGAGGTGAGATCTTTCATGGAGCCCCAGGCCGAGGGAGATTGACAGGTCTTTTGTGTTTCTTCCATTTATAATCGCACCAACTGTTGTCACCTTCTCACCAAGCTGCTTGGCGATGGTCTTGTAGCCCATTCCAGCCTTGTGTAGGTCTACAATCTTGTCCCTGACATCCTTGGAGAGCTCTTTGGTCTTGGCCATGGTGGAGAGTTTGGAATCTGATTGATTGCTTCTGTGGACAAGTGTCTTTTTATACAGGTAACAAGCTGAGATTAGGAGCACTCCCTTTAAGACCTGGGAGCCAGAAATCTTTCTGATTGAGAGGGGGTCATACTTATTTCCCTCATTGAAATGAAAATCAATTGATAACATTTTTGACGTGTTTTTCTGGATTTTTCTGTTGTTATTCTGTCTCTCACTGTTCAAATAAACCTACCATTAAAATTATAGACTGATCATTTCTTTGTCAGTGGGCAAACGTACAAAATCAGCAGGGGATCAAATACTTTTTTCCCTCACTGTATGTTTGTCTCCTCAATGTCTCACTGTCACACACATCCAGCCACGCCAGCAAAAGACTGCAGCTTTATTTGACTAGTCTGAAGATGTCGTGGAAAAGCCTCATCTTCCTACTCTCTCCCAAATGTCTCATTCTCGCTCTTTCTCGAAATGAAATGTCCTTTGACCTTTGTTCGGTGTTGTGATCCTTACATAGGTTGAACGCTGTGTAGTTGAAGGAATTAATTTAACTCTCTCATTAAAGCCAGGGCAGGTTTGAGGTGCAATAACGGCAAACCTACTTTCCAAAACACTCTGGGTTGTCATAGAAACTCTTGGTGTTGGTGCTTTTATCTTAAAGATGATTGGCAAATTGACATTTTGTTTTTGTTTTGCTTTTTACGATAATTATTAATAAAATGTTTTCTTATAATGTGTTTCATTTACATCTCTTCTAATTGGTGATATTATGCATATTAAAAAGGTGCTTTTCTTTATGCATTTATTCAAGTTTATTTAGGCTTTAGGGTGCATGATATTTCAGTTATTAGTTTTCAGTGAAGGAGTCAGACAATGATGCTATGTAGGGGTAATAAGTTCATAATTTTTCTACTACCATTAGAGGAGTACGTTCTGTACAAAGCTATGCTTATCGTTTTGCCCAAAAATGGTGTTTTGAGAAATGTATCCTCAGTTCTGTCTGTAGTGGGGAATGCACATTTCAGTAAAAAATGTCCACTACTGGGGAAATAATGGACTTTTTAAATATTTATAGTAGGCCTAGTAAAGAAAAGCAACATTCAATGTTCTAGGAATACTCTGAAATACACATTGTTAAAGTGTTTTGCAGTATTACGTGTGTGTTTTCAAGCCATTAAATTATAATTATTGTAATTGTTTTGTTAATCCCTGCAGGAATTTTTAAATTAACCTTGGCATTATCACTTGGCACGGTTGACCACCAAGCAGGACAGACTCAACTCAATGACCTTGGTTGTCTGCAAAACAAGGCTGCAGCTGTGGGTTTTGTCCATGAGACCCATCTCAAACCCAGAGGTCTCAACAGCATTATCTCATGGTCTGTCCATCAGAGATCCTTTAATTGGTCGGACGTAAAGAGAGCTCTTTTTTAGCAGACACACTTATCTATCTGGCATGTAGCACATCCATACTCCACCCCACTGTCCTTAGAATAACTGCTGAGAGGACTTTTGAAAGCAAATGTGTCTTTTAATAAATCGTCAAATTGCAATCACATCTTTAAAAGCAGCCACTTGTGATGCAATTCAATGATGAATAATAATATGCCATTTAGCAGACGCTTTTATCCAAAGCGACTTACAGTCATGTGCGCATACATTTTTACTTATGGGTGGTCCCGGGGATCGAACCCACTACCCTGGCGTTACAAGCGCCATGCTCTACCAATTGAGCTACAGAGGACCACATGAACATTCCAATATCTGTTTTTGCATTGGAAGAAAAAACATTGTGTAGAAGAATTGTAAGAAATGGCAGGAGACCGAAACGATAGGATAGTGTTGATCGAGTAGGCCAGTCGTTGCCTATGAAAGGCCTTTCTAGAAATGGGATTACGTGCATGTTTTTCTGTCTCCTTTAAGTGTCCTCCATTTTCTTTTTTGAGGTGTTTGTCAGTCCTCAGTCTATCCTCACTCACAGGCAAGGCAGGTGTCTATCTGCAACACACACAACCCTCCATAGTCGGTCTTGTGCTTCCTTTCCTTAGCCTTCTCAGCCCACCATAGTATTCACAGCATTGGGCGGCATGTAGCCTAGCGGTTAGTGTTGGGCCAGTAACCGAAAGATTGCTTGTTTGAATACCCGAGCTGACAAGGTGAAAAATCTGTCAGTGTGCCCTTGAGCAAGGAACTTAACCCTAATTTGCCCGAGGGGGGCCATACTACTATGTCTGACCCTGTAAAACAACCCATTTCACTGCACCTATCCAGGTGTCTGACAATAAGACATTATTTTAGCGTACCCTGTTCCTCCACATCTTACAACATGTTGAGGAAACGATGTTTCCCATATCTTTCAATGGACACATCACATAATATTGAGAGGCAGTGTACTACACAAAACCCTTCTCACTTGCTTACCTGAACCAAACAAGTGTTAGATCCAGACATGACGGGCTGCCATGAGGCTGTGGTGTGTATTCTGCCTGATACTGGTGCTGCCCAGTGTGGACACTCCTCGTCACCTACCTGGGGATGCTCCATGTTTTAGAAGGACACCGGCTCATGTAGAGGTTATTGAGGAAATGCTTTCAGCACTTCGTGGAGTTTGGGTCCAGGAAAGCGAGCTGAGAAAGGAGGATTTGACTTGGTTTTGCAGTTTGCTCACACTGATGGTGCTCCAATCTCAGTCTTAGCCACACTAGCTGAAGAAGCCAACAAAGAGAAACATGGCCTATATGATTGGCACCCAACCAAAGGTAAAATGTGTCTCTTTCCAAATATCAGCTTTGAATATATGGCACAGATATGGATCTGATTCTGAATGAAATAGGATGTTATGTCTTGTCTACCCTCCGCCTTCCCTCTCCAAGATCAAGTCCATACTGCTCCTTGCCTTTCGAAACCCCAGAACAGGAGCCTTCAGCGCCATCACTTTCACCAGTCAGTCTGCAGCCTTACAAACAGGTTAGAAGTCATTACTTACTCATTTACAACATTCCTGAACTTCTTGTCTTTCACATTTTAGAAGTCTTTCTTGTCTTACCATAGACCATTAAAAGACTGATGTACTGCTGTTGGTATCGGACTCCCACCTTACCCCATTTCAGACGGTATGTATTTCAGAGGGAACACAGTTCCTAATCCTAACAGGAAAGCCATCAGAGGGCAAAAGTCACCTGAAATGGCGAATCAATGTTGACACAAAAACACCAGATACAGGTAAGAAGAACATCTCATCTTGTACAGCTTATAGTGTTCAAGTTACATGCTGATGGAAGGAAAGTCTATTATAAAACTTATTTACCCTTCTCAGGGCAAAAGCTGTCTGAACTACAAGGTATCCTGATTGGTGAAGGAATAAGAAGTGATGTCAGTGTCATACCCCTGGTGCTTTTCTCAATGGATAGAGGAATTAATGAAAGGGCAGTTGGCTTTGGCTTTTTTTCAAATGCAGCATCTACAGTTGAAGTCGGAGGTTTACATACACCTTAGCCAAATACATTTAAACTCAGTTTTTCACAATTCCTGACATTTAATCCTAGTAAAAATTCCCTGTCTTAGGTCAGTTAGGACCACCACTTTATTTTAAATATGTGAAATGTCAAACATTTCAGGTAGCCTTCCACAAGCTTCCCACAATAATTTGGGTGAATTTTCGCCCATTCCTCCTGACAGAGCTGGTGTAACTGAGTCTCCAAACATAACGATGGTCATTATGGCCAAACAGTTTTATTTTTGTTTCATCAGACCAGAGGACATTTCCCCAAAAAGTACGATCTTTGTCCCCATGTGCAGTTGCAAACCGTAGTCTGGCTTTTTTATGGCGGTTTTGGAGAAGTGGCTTCTTCCTTGCTGAGCGGCCTTTCAGGTTATGTCGATATAGGACTCATTTTACTGTGGATATAGATTATTTTGTACCCGTTTCCTCCAGCATCTTCACAAGGTCCTTTGCTGTTGTTCTGAGATTGATTTGCACTTTTCGCACCAAAGTACGTTCATCTCTAGAAGACAGAACGCGTCTCCTTCCTGAGTGGTATGACGGCTGCGTGGTCTCATGATGTTTATACTTACGTACTATTGTTTGTACAGATGAACGTGGTACCTTCAGACATTTGGAAATTGCTCCCAAGGATGAACCAGATTTGTAGAGGTCTACAATGTTGTTGTTTTTCTGAGGTCTTGGCTGATTTCTTCTGATTTTCCCATGATGTCAAGCAAAGAGGCACTGAGTTTGAAGGTAGGCCTTGAAATACATCCACAGGTACACCTCTAATTGACTCGAATTATGTCAATTAGAATATCAGAAGCTTCTAAAGCCATGACATCATTTTCTGGAATTTTCCAAGCTGTTTAAAGGCACAGTCAACTTAGTGTATGTAAACTTCTGACCCACTGGAATTGTGATACAGTGAAATAATCTGTCTGTAAACAATTGTTGGAAAAATTACTTGTGTCATGCACAAAGTAGATGTCCTAACCGACTTGCCAAAACTATAGTTTGTTAACAAGACATTTGTGGAGTGGTTGAAAAACGAGTTTTAATGACTCCAACCTAAGTGTATGTAAACTTTCGACTTCAACTGTAGCTATTATTGTTATTTTTCTTTAAATGATTGAAGTCATAGAGATTCTTAAATTAGTGTAATTGTCTTTCTCAGAGTGACACAAGCAAAGTCCCTCCCCTGCTCCCTCCAGGACCTATGCTTTTCTGTGTGAGCTGCAGGAGTTCCTCAGTGACGTTCTGCCACCACAGACGCAGTCACAACTACGGGCTACTCCGGTCCCGCTGTACACTCTGCATTCTCTCCCCACCCTGTCCCTTGGGGTGTCGTCCAGTGAGACCGTCCCGGCCGGGCTGCTCAACTCCTCAGCTCTCACCCTGTTCTCCTTCCCCACACTGGGCTCTGCTCCAGGGGCACACAGGGAGCTGGCCCTGCAGCCTGCCCTGCTGGAGGTGCTCAGGCAGAGACTGGAGGAGGTTGTGGTCCAGATGAGGATGAAGGAGGTGGGCAGAGCAGGGATGGACAGGCTGAGGAGGCTCCGGGGAACTGTCCTTCCCAAAGAGGTTGAGGAACCACCAGCGGGTGAGCAGGCCTCAATGTAAATTCATAATGCATGTCTGTGCATTGATTTAATTATCAAGTCATTTAAAACCTTTTTCTTTCACTACTGAGCCCTGCTTCTGCTGAAGGCCCTGCAGACTGTGGTGGGAGCCTGGGAGATGGAGAGGGGGCAGTAGGCCAAGAGGGCCCAGGGAAGGGACACCTGTGTTGGCTGCACAGCCTCACTGTCCCTGGAGAAATACCTGCTGGCTCCTCCTGAGGTCACCATCTACAACTACCAGGGAGTCTGCTGCTTTCCCCTGACCAACGGTAACAACCATCCCCTCCTTCTGAACAACCAGGTCCAGAGGGGCCCTGGAGCGCTCACCCTTCTGTGTGCCTATGGACAATGAGGACCTCAAGGTGGTGGAGTTGGATCAGGATGGAACCAAGATCTCCATCAAACCCAACATGGTGACCAAGGAGTGTGGTTGCCGCTGATTCCTCCATGTGGTCCAATGACTGTAATAATGGCAAGGACCAGGCCAACTGCATGGGTGGACCATTACTCAGAAAAAGTCAATAATTTTGTTTATTGTAAATGCATCATCATCATCACCACATCTAATTCTCCACCTATGCTCAATCATGTTCTGCCAAATATTAGCTGATTTTACATTTTAATACACTTTTTGTTACTCATCAATGTCAATCGCAAAGTCAATGGCACAGTGCACATATTGGTTCTTTCAAATACCGTTTGATCATTATCAATTTGCATCCAATGAAAATGCATATTAAAGGCTAAAAGAATATATCATCGAATATGAGATGGGAACCAGCAAATGTTATTCATTTGAATTGATTTCTGTATACCCTCTAAATATGAAAAACATTTATGCAAACAGATTATGCATGATCAGATTAGACTTCATATAAGACTGTGTATGGTGCATTTAAGATCATTGTGATGTATGTATGACTTTTTGACTGCATTGTTGGGAAAGGGCTCGTAAGTAAGCGTTTTGCAGTAGTCCACCTGTTGTATTTGGGGCATGTGACAAATAAAATTGTTTTTGTATGATAATTGTTCTGTAAATTGGTTCTTTCTAAAGTAGTAACTTGCAATATATCCTTTATTTTTTATATAAACACTGGGCAAACTGACATTATTTGATTATTCTTTCAGAAAATGTCAGCCTATTTTGTTGTATTAGCCTCTTTACCATTCTCCATAATGCTATCTCGCTATCATTCCTTTAACAGCCCTTTGTCAGACACATCTCTATTTCTGATCCTCAAGACTCCCCCTCTTCTCTTTGGTTTTCCTTTTCTTCCATCGTCTGATCCCCAACTCAGCAAGCTGTCCCACAGAGTGGCTGCAGGCTGGAGGGAGAGAAGAGGAACACCCAGGGGCACAACATAAGGTTCTAAAGCAGAGCGCTTAATTATTTGTTATTCAGTGTGTTCGTTATGAGAAGGACATATATAGAAAATACACTGAGTATACAAAACATTAGGAACACCTGCTCTTTCCACGACATTTACATGTACATTTTAGCAGATGCTCTTATCCAGAGCGACTTAGTTAGTGAGTGAATACATTATTTTAAAGAAAAATCATACTGGCCCCCCGTGGGAATCGAACCCACAACCCTGGCATTGCAAGCGCCATGCTCTACCAACTGAGCTACACAGGGTCCTACTTACATACTAACTTTAGGCGTCAGTTGTCAGAGCAGCTTACCGATCACTGCACCTGTACACAGCCCATCCAACTACCTCATCCCCATATTGTTACTTATTTTTCTAATTTGCACCCCAGTATCTCTATTTGCACATCATCTTTTGCACATCTATCATTCCAGTGTTAAAACACAATTGTAACTATTTTGCACTATGGCCTATTTATTGCCTTACCTCCAAAATGTACTACATTCGCACACACTGTATATATATTTTCTGTTGTATTTTTGACTATGTTTTGTTTACCCCATATGTAACTCTGTGTTGTTTTTATCGCACTGCTTTGCTTTATCTAGGCCAGGTCGCAGTTGTAAATGAGAACTTGTTATCAACTGGCTTACCTGGTTAAATAAAGGTGAAATAAAAATAGACTGACCAGGTGAATCCATGTCAAAGCTATGATCCCTTATTGATGTCGAATGTTAAATCCACATCAATCAGTGTATATGAAGGAGAGGAGACCGGTTAAATAATACTTTTTAAGCCTTGAGACAATTGAGACATGGATTGTGTGTGCAATTCAGAGGGTGAATCGGCAAGACAAAATATTTAAGTGCCTTTGAACGGGGTATGGTAGTAGGTGCCAGGCTCACCGGTTTGAGTGTGTCAAGAACCGCAACGTTGCTGGGTTTTTCACGCTCAACAGTTTCCTGTGGTATCGGGGGTTGGTATACTCAGTGTAAACTATAAGTCCCAGTACCTGAGCTGTGCCATCTGGCTGTAGATCGGTGCCTCCAAGTAACATCTGAGTAAGATCATTCTCCTCTAGAAATACTTCCAGAGCATCTAAACCACAAGAGATAATGCATGAGCTAGTCTGTGTGCGCATTGAGATAGATACAGTGGGGAGAACAAGTATTTGATACACTGCCGATTTTGCAGGTTTTCCTACTTACAAAGCATGTAGAGGTCTGTAATTTTTATCATAGGTACACTTCAACTGTGAGAGACGGAATCTAAAACAAAAATCCAGAAAATCACATTTTGATTTTTAAGTAATTAATTTGCATTTTATTGTATGACATAAGTATTTGATCACCTACCAACCGGTAAGAATTCCGGCTCTCACAGACCTGTTAGTTTTTCTTTAAGAAGCCCTCCTGTTCTCCACTCATTACCTGTATTAACTGCACCTGTTTGAACTCGTTACCTGTATAAAAGACACCTGTCCACACACTCAATCAAACAGACTCCAACCTCTCCACAATGGCCAAGACCAGAGAGCTGTGTATGGACATCAGGGATAAAATTGTAGACCTGCACAAAGCTGGGATGGGCTACAGGACAATAGGCAAGCAGCTTGGTGAGAAGGCAACAACTGTTGGCGCAATTATTAGAAAATGGAAGAAGTTCAAGATGACGGTCAATCACCCTCGGTCTGTGGCTCCATGCAAGATCTCACCTCATTTTACATTTACATTTTAGTCATTTAGCAGACGCTCTTATCCAGAGCGACTTACAGTTAGTGAATACATATTTGTTTTATACTGGCCCCCCGTGGGAATCGAACCCACAACCCTGGCGTTGCAAATGCCATGTTCTATCAACTGAGCTACATCCCTGCCGGCCATTCCCTTCCCTACCCTGGACGACGCTGGGCCAATTGTGCGCCGCCCATGAGTCTCCCGGTCGCGGCCGGCTGCGACAGAGCCTGGATTCGAACCAGGATCTCTAGTGGCACAGTTAGCACTGCGATGCAGTGCCTTAGACCACAGTCTCAAAGAAAACCATTAGTAACACACTACGCCGTCATGGATTAAAATCCTGCAGCGCACGCAAGGTCCCCCTGCTCAAGCCAGCGCATGTCCAGGCCCGTCTGAAGTTTGCCAATGACCATCTGGATGATCCAGAGGAGGAATGGGAGAAGGTCATGTGGTCTGATGAGACAAAAATAGAGCTTTTTGGTCTAAACTCCACTCGCCGTGTTTGGAGGAAGAAGAAGGATGAGTACAACCCCAAGAACACCATCCCAAGAGCATTGAAGATGGGTCGTGGCTGGGTCTTCCAGCATGACAACGACCCGAAACACACAGCCAGGGCAACTAAGGAGTGGCTTCAACTCACAGTTGAAGTGTACCTATGACAAAAATTACAGACCTCTACATGCTTTGTAAGTAGGAAAACCTGCAAAATCGGCAGTGTATCAAATACTTGTTCTCCCCACTGTAGATATATATTTTTTATCATATGTTTCAACACTCACCATGTACTTCATTCACCCCTGAGCTCACAAGCACAATGATGATCGCCAACACTATGCAACGGTTTAGAGTAATGCCTTTCCATGGGTTCTCAACCTCACTCAAACTTTGGATGGACAAAATACTTTCATATGACACTAGAAGTAGACAGAGTAGTAGGTCAACATGGGACAAAATATACTATTACTGAATATGGAAATGTAATGAATAAGGATTGTATTACTGCTAAGACTCTCAGATGATAATGTTCTGGATCTGTTGCGTCCTGTAAATTCAGGTAATATTTGGGTTTTGTTAATGCAAGATATTTGAAAGGTAAACTTATTAAACATCCCAGTGAAGGTTCAGACTAAATCTTTCATTTTCAGTGTTAACTCAACTGAACGTTTGCTCTAAAACCACATAGGCAATGAGGTTTGAGCACATACATGGATTGAGGTTACAGTGCCTTCCAAAAGTATTCATACCCCTTGACTTATTCCACATTTTGTGTTACAGCCTGAATTCAAAGTGGATTAAATCGTTTTTCTCACCATCTACACACAATACCCCTAAATGACAAAGTGAAAACATGTTTTTTGAAATGTTTGCATATTTAGCATAAATGAAATAACTAATTTACCCCTGAGTCAATACATGTTAGAATCACCTTTGGCAGCGATTAGAGCTGTGAGTCTTTCTGGGTAAGTCTCTAAGAGCTTTGCACACCTGGATTGTACAATATTTGTATGTTATCCTTTTTAAAAATTCTTCAAGCTCTGTCAAGTTGGTCGTTGATCATGGCTAGACTGGCATTTTCAAGTCTTGCCATAGATTTTCAAGCCGATTTAAGTCAAAACTGTAACGAGGCCACTCAGGAACATTCAATGTCATCTTGGTAAGCAACTCATGTATATTTGGCCTTGTGTTTTAGGTTATTGTCTTGCTGAAAGGTGAATTTGTCTTCCAGTGTCTGTTGGAAAGCAGACTGAACCCGGTTTTCCTCTAAGATTTTGCCTGTGCTTAGCTTTATTCAGTTTCTTTTTATCCTAAAAAACTCCCTAGTCCTTGCCAATGACAAGCATATCCATAACATGATGTGGTCATCACCATGCTTGAAAATATGAAGAGTGGTACTCAGTGATGTGTTGGATTTGCCCCATAACGATTTGTATTCAGGACATAAAGTTAATTTCTTTGTCACATTTTTGCAGTTTTACTTTAGTGCCTTATTGCAAACAGGATGCATGTTTTGGAATATTTGTATTCTGTATAGGCTTCCTTCTTTTCACTCTGTCAATTAGGTTAGTATTGTAGAGTGACTACAATGTTGTTGAGCCATCTTCAGTTTTCTCCTATCACAAGCCATTAAACTCTAACTGTTTTAAAGTCACCATGAAATCCCTGAGCGGTTTCCTTCCTCTCCGGCAACTGAGGAAGGACATTTGTATCTTTGTAGTAGTGGAGGATGCTGAGGAGAGGACGGCTCATAGTAATGGCTGGAACGGAGCAAATGGAATGGCATCAAACCATGTGTTTGATACCATTCCACATATCCCGAGCCAGCCATTACCATGAGCCCGTCCTCCCCAATTAAGGTGCCACCAACCTCCTGTGCTTTGTAGTGACCATCCAAAGTGTAATTAATTACTTCACCATGCGCAAAGGGATATTTAATGTCTGCTTTTCACCTATCTACCAATAGGTGCCCTTCTTTGCGAAGCATTGGAAAACCTCCCTGGTTGAATCTGTGTTCGAAATTCAGTGCTCGACTGAGGGACCTTACAGATAATTGTATGTGTGGGGTACAGAGATGAGGTAGTAATTCAAAAATCATGTTAAACACCATGCAACTTATGTGACTTGTTAAACACATTGTTAACTTCTGAACTTATTTAGGCTTGCCATTACAAAGGGGTTGAATCCTCAGACTCATTTCAGCCTTTACATTTTTAATTAATTTAATTCCATAATTCCACTTTGCCATTATGGGGTATTGAGTGTAGGCCAGTGACACAAAATCGCAATTTAATATGTTTTACATTCAGGCTGTATCACAACAAAATGTGGAAAAAGTCAAGGGGTGTGAATACTTTTTGAAAGCACCATGTTGATGCAGAGGACATGATCAGTTCCAAATCGCAATAAAGCATAGACCAATAAAACATTTCTTAAATAGAAATCAGTCTGAACGAACAGAGGAAAAGTAAATATACAGATAATCCTTGTCAAATTATTCCCAAACTAGAGTCTAATGCAAACCTTTAAAAACACATGACAGAATGAGTCTTACCTGGGTTGACCTTTTTCTCCTATGGAAGGAGAGGTTTGTGGATGTTGATTTCAGTTCACTGGTAAGTGTCCTATAGCCTGCCCTGCTTTAGATGCCTTGATCCCTGACAGGCAGGCACAGCTGAGAGCTTTAAAAAAAAATACAAATATAGCACTGGAGAGATTTACAGTGCCGTCGGAAAGTATTCAGACCCGTTCACTTTTTCCACATTTTGTTACGTTAGAGTCTCATTCTAAAATTGATTAAATCTACACACAATACTCCATTATGACAAAGCAAAAACAGGTTTAGAAATGTTAGCAAATTTTTTAAAAATAAAACAAACGGAAATATCACATTTACATAAGTATTCAGACCCTTTACTCAGTACTTTGTTGAAGCACCTTTGGCAGCGATTACAGCCTTGAGTCTTCTTGGGTATGACGCTGCAAGCTTGGCACACCTGTATTTGGGGAGTTTCTCCCATTCTTCTCTGTAGATCTGTAAGTCGCTTTGGATAAAAGCGTCTGCTAAATGGCATATTAAAATTAAATTAAAATATATTAGATCCTTTCAAGCTCTGTCAGGTTGGATGGGGAGCGTCGCTGCACAGCTATTTTCAGGTCTCTCCAGAGATGTTAGATCGGGTTCAAGTCCAGGCTCTGGACTGCAGAGATTTTTTTTCTATTGATAATGTCAAATTAACAGCCACACAGAAAGACTCATGTGAAGGTGAAATTACAGAGGAGGAACTTCTGGATGCAATTAAAGACTTTAAGTCCGGGAAAACTCCAGGGTTGGATGGCATACCAGTCGAGGTATACCAAACCTTTTTTTTGATATACTAAGAGGACCGTTAAGAGCATGTTTTAACCACTCCTATGTAAATGGTAGATTATCTGACACTCAAGAAGAAGGTCTGATCTCATTATTACTGAAACAGGATACAAGTGGAAAATATAAAGATCCAGTCCATTTACAAAATTGGAGCCCCTTACACTTCAGTGTTGTGATGCAAAAATCCTAGCAAAATGTATAGCGCATAGAATTAAAAAGGTATTGTCGGATATTATTCATTCTAATCAGACAGGTTTTTTACATGGAAGATACATTGGAGATAATATAAGGCAAGTATTGGAAACAATAGAACACTATGGAAAATATGGGAAACCAGGCCTGCTATTCATAGCAGACTTCGAAAAGGCATTTGCTAAAGTTCGACTGGGGTTTATATATAAATGCCTGGAGCATTTCAATTTTGGAGAATCTCTTATAAAATGGGTCAAAATCATGTATAGTAACCCTAGGTGTAAAATAGTAAATAATGGCTATTTCTCAGAAAGTTTTAAACTGTCAAGAGGAGTGAAACAAGGTTGTCCACTATCGGCATATCTATTTATTATGGCCATCGAGATGTTAGCTATTAAAATCAGATCCAACAATAATATCAGGGGATTAGAAAAACAGGGCTTAAAAACAAAGGTGTCATTGTACGCAGATGATTCATGTTTTCTTTTAGATCCACAACTAGAATCCCTCCACAGCCTCATAGAGGATCTAGATACATTTTCTAACCTCTCTGGATTAAAACCAAATTATGACAAATGTACTATATTACGTATTGGATCACTAAAAAATACAATTTTTACATTACCATGTAGTTTACCAATAAAATGGTCTGATGGTGATGTGGATATACTCGGAATACATATCCCAAAGGAAATAAATGATCTCACTTCAATACATTTTAATAGAAAGTTAGCAAAAATAGATAAGATCTTACTACCATGGAAAGGAAAATACCTGTCAATTTGTGGAAAAATCACCCTGATTAACTCTTTAGTATTATCCCAGTTTACCTATTTGCTTATGGTCTTGCCTACGCCTAGCAAACAGTTTTTTAAATTATATGAGAAAAAAATATTCAATTTTATTTGGAACGGCAAGCCAGACAAAATTAAAAGAGCATATTTATATAATGAATATGAATTCGGAGGACAGAAATGATTAAATATTAAAGCATTAGACCTATCACTAAAATCTTCAGTCATCCAAAAGTTATACTTAAATCCGAACTGGTTCTCAAGCAAATTAGTAAGATTGTCTCACCCACTGTTCAAGAAAGGCCTTTTTCCCTTTATTCAGATTACAACCTCTCACTTTCAGTTATTTGAAAAGGAAATAATCTCCCAAATGTCACTATTTCTAAAACAAGCCATAGAAAGTTGGTTGCAATTTCAATTTAATCCTCCAGAAACGACAGAACAAATAATGCAACAAATATTGTGGTTAAATTCAAATATACTAATTGACAAAAAACCTTTATTTTTTGACAGAATGTTTAAAAAAGGTATAATCTTCGTAAATGATATCATCGGTAGGACTGGTGGAGTTATGTCGCACATGCAGCTAACAAAAACATATGGAAATGTCTGCTCTACCCAAAATTACAACCAAATAATTGCAGCCTTACCGCAAAAGTGGAAGAGGAAAGTTGAAGGGGGAGAAAGTAAGGAACTTGTCTGTCGGCCTTGCATTAAAGAACATAATTGGTTAAGGAAAACTGTGATAAATAAAAAAGTATATCAGTTTCACTTAAGGACCAAAGGATTGACAGCCGTCCCATATAGATTGCAAAATAGTTGGGAAGAGATCTTTGACGTACCGATCCCATGGCATAGTGTTTATGAACTGACACGCAAAACGACACCGGATTCAAAAATTAGAATCTTTCAATTTAAATTATTATATAAAATTCTTGCTACCAATAGAATGTTATTTATATGGGGGATACAATCTTCCCAGCTCTGCAGATTTTGCTGTGAAGAGATAGAATCATTAGATCATTTGTTTTGGTTCTGTCCATTTGTAGCTTGTTTTTGGACACAGGTCCAGGAATGGCTAAAGGATTGCAATATTTACCTGGAACTAACCTTGCAGATAGCATTACTGGGTGATCTGAAAAGTCATAGTCAATCAATCCAATAATATAATAATACTTATAGCAAAAATGTTTATTATTAATTCACAATCTGTAGAAGCAATGAGAATAGAAAGGTTCAGAACTTTTGTAAAACATCACAGTACGGTTGAAATATATATGGCAAATAGAAATCCTATATGGATGGTGTTAAGAGATAGATGGGAGGTATTGAATAGAGTTGAAGGATGGGACTAATAACAAAGATAGCTAATAATGTAAGTATACTGTGTCCATAATAAGTATATAGGTTGTATGTTGGGAGCTTTTGGGAAAGAGCACAGTTAGAAAGATATGGCATTTAGAAGCAAACCAGATGGACATCATGAAAATGATCGGAGAGGTTGAGAGTAGAAGAAGTTCAGGAGCAAAAAATAAATAAAATATATATATAATATAATTATTGTAAAATTAACTCTGTCCATAAGGTGTAGATAGTAAGTATAGACTGGAAGTAGAGGCCTGGGCATTGTTGTTCACTAATTTACTCCAAGTAGGGAAAGGATGGTGGGGTTGAAAAGTAATAAAGGGGAATATATATATATATATATATAAATAAAAATAAAAAATAAATAAATGGGGGATTGGAAGTGATGCAGACAATTACATTGATAGAAGATACAATCTATCTGCAATATTAAGCTGATCCATTCCCCCCCAAAAATTTAAAAAAAAAAAATATATATATAAAAAAAATATATAATAAAGTCCAGGCTCTGGCTGGGAAACTCAAGGACATTCAGAGACTTGTCCCGAAGCCACTCCTGCATTGTCTTGGCTGTGTGCTTAGGGTCTTTGTCCTGTTGGAAGGTGAATCTTCGCCTCAGTCGGAGGTCCTGAGTAGGTTTTCATCAAGGATCACTGTACTTTGCTGCGTTCATCTTTCCCTCGATCCTGACTAGTCTCCCAGTCCCTGCCGCTGAAAAACATCCCCACAGCATGATGCTACCACCACCATGCTTCACCGTAGGGATGGTGCCAGGTTTCCATCAGATGTGTCGCTTGGTATTCAGGCCAGAAAGTTCAATCTTGGTTTAATCAGACCAGAGAATCTTGTTTGTCATGGTCTGAGAGTCCTTTAGGTGCCTTTTGGCAAACTCCAAGTGGGCTGTCATGTGCCTTTTACTGAGGAGTGGCTTCCGTCTGGCCACTACCATGAAGGCCTGATTGGTGGAGTGCTGCAGAGATGGTTGCCCTTCTGGAAGGTTCTCCCATCTCCACAGAGGAACTCTGGAGCTCTGTCAGAGTAAACATCGGGTTCCCTGACCAAGGCCCTTCTCCCCCGGTTGCTCAGTTTGGCTGGGCGGCCAGCTCTAGGAAGAGTCTTGGTGGTTCCAAACTTCTTCCATTTAAGAATGATGGAGGCCACTGTGTTGTTGGGGACCTTCAATGCTGCAGAAACGTTTTGGTACCGTTCCCCAGATCTGTGCCTCGACACAATCCTGTCTCTGAACTCGAACAAGTCCTTCGACCTCATGGCTTGGTTTTTGCTCTGACGTGCACTGTCAACTGTGGGACCTTTTATAGACAGGTGTGTGCGCCTTTCCAAATCATGTCCAATCAATTGAATTTACCACAGGTGGACTCCAATCAAGTTGTAGAAACATCTCAAGGATCATCAATGGAAACAGGATGCACCTGAGCTCAATATTGAGTCTCATAGCAAAGGATCTGAATAATTATGTTAATAAGGTATTTACATATTATTATTTTTGTATACATTTGCAAAAATGTCTATAAACCTGTTTTCACTTTTTCATTATGGAATATTGTGTGTAGATTGATGAGGAATATTTTTTATTTAATCAATTTTAAACAAAATGTGGAAAAAGTGAAGGGGTCTGAATACATTCCCGACTGCACTGTATACTGTTGATTGCTGCTACAAACAATCAGCTATACAACAACAAAGTGTTCTGAAACCACCCATAGCCACAATCCAAAACATTATCATCATCCACAATGATAATCACTAGTACAATCTACATCAAATCAAATTGTATTGGTCACATACATACACATATCTAGCAGATGTTATTGCGGGTGTAGCGAAATGCTTGTGTTCCTAGCTCCAACAGTGCAGTAATAACTAACAATACACACAAATGTAAAAGTAAACGAATGGAATTAAGAAATATATAAATATTAGGACAAGCAATGTCAGAGTCCAGATGTGTGTGTGTGTGAACGATATGGGATGTATAGACATTATGGACAATATGTGGATAGAATATATAGTAAATATCTGAAGAATACGTGGATAGAATAGTATATGTACAGCAATAGTTGAATAGGATGGCCTTGACTAGAATACAGTATGTAAACATTATTAAAGTGACTAGTGTTCCATTATCAAAGTGACCATTGTTCGATGTTTATGTACATAGGGCAGCAGCCTCTAAGGTGCAGGGATGAGTAACTGGGTGGTAGCCGGCTAGTGACAGTGACTAAGTTCAGGGCAGTGTACTGAGTAGAGGCTGGCTAGTGATGGCTATTTAACAGTCTGATGACCTTGAGATAGAAGCTGTTTTTCAGTCTCTTGGTCCCAGCTTTGATGCACCTGTACTGACCTTGCCTTCTGGGTGATACAGTAGCTATACCGTTTATTATCAAAAACTTGACTACAGCATGTGACCTACTGGAGTAGGACAGTTTGTTTAATTCATAGAGATCCTATTAAAATATTGTAATTCATAATTCTATGGTTTAATTCCTAAATTTAATTCATCAAACGTCATGGTTTTAGGACACTCCCTTTCCTTTGTGACTGCTGACTCGAGGAGCCCTCCCCTTGTGCTCTGGCAGCCTGAGCCTGCGAGAAAAATCATTTGGTGAGGAGAGAAGCAAAAGGGATCTGCAGACTTGGACGCTGTTGGCCTTATGGTTAAATCCAACCTTCAGACGATATTAAATAGCCACTGTTTTGTCAGAGAAAAAGAGAAAACCACATCTACAATGCCAGTTAACGAACTGCCCAGTAATAACCCCGAAAGTGAAAGGTAAGTTGAGATAGCAATTCAGAAGGACTATGATTACTCATTGAGTCAGTAGCCACAGAGGCCTAGCTAACTGTACTCAGCTAGCATAACTTGCGACTTGTTTACTGTTTTTACAGTGGATATTATGTAAGAAGTCAGTAGAACAATATTGTGCGGAACTGCCTTTCGTTATTTCCCTCAAAGTTGACAATATTTAGCTGTAGTCGAAGTCTGTATAATTTTGGTTATTAAAGTTGGTTGCGGTTTATTTCGAACAACAATTTGTCATTTAGCATTCTGCTGATGTTGTTGGCTAACGCGTTAACGTTAGGTAACTAACGTTAGATAGTTAGCTTACCAGCTAACGCTAGCTAGCCAGCTCGTTCTTTAACTAGATACATTTGGCTTTGTCAATGCACAGTTTAACGCTTGTTGCTTCATTTGCGATGAATTAAGAAACAAACTAGCTACGGCAACATGTTTCACAATAATGTTGGGATAAATGGACTGACACAATTTATTACGTCGAATGTTCTGGAAGACGTTAGTCGACGTTAGTGGCTATGTAGTGGCAGTGCGTTTTAAGCAACAGGCACACAGCTAGTTAGCTAGCTACTACTAGCCATTGCGGCAAATATTTAGCTTGCAACGCTTCAACACCTGCAGGTATTAATATCATATCTGAGCACTCACATATGTTTGGCCAATCAAAACCCTTGACGACTTGACTGACTGTTATCCTGCTTAAAGACTAGGTCGAAAATATACTTTCGACCTAGCTAGGTTAAAGAATAACATGAGTGACAGCTAGTTAACTTACCTATTGGCTCAGTTCCGTCAGTACCTATGCCTAAAAACCCAAGTACAGGATGTGCAGTCCCTAAAAGTAGGTTATTTACCTGTCGATGCTCATTCTTATGTTTTGACATAACCCTATCAGAATTTACATCCCTTCTCATCTGTGGGAATTAAAATTAGTGTAGACCAATAAAGCCTAGACAACATTTAAAGAACTTGCCCTAACACAAGTAGGCTGACCATGGAGTCTCTTCCATTGATTATTGTCAATAGTTGCAAATCATCTTGATTAGCCTAGACAGTCTGCTGAGTCTCACTGAGTACAACTACTGTTGACTTGTGTAGTATGGTTATAATATTCTATCAGAATGGACACAGCACTATTTGCACGTTCTGGTCAAGTCTGTGCCCAATGGGTGTGAAATGCTGTTATGGTCTGTTGTGTGGGTGGGGCATTGAGCTGTTGTCTGTTACTAGAGGAAGAGGCCTCTTGAAACTTAGTCCCCAGCCCCACCATTTAAGTGCTTTGAGTACAGGTTGCGAGGTGTCCATAACTGCCCCAAAATCATTCCCCTATGGCCAAATATCTAGTCTATTTTTCTGCCAGGCAGTATTTTTCCACATCAGATTCATTCAACTGGTAAAGGCTGGGACTCATCTCCCACCTGACTAAGCCAGCTGTCACAAGTTAAGGCGCTTCATGAATGGTGTGTATAGGAATATTGTGAAATGGCGTAGAATAGCAGTGCAGTTGAATCTGTGGGAACAACTTGCAGGTGGAATGCAACGGCCAGGGATTTTACATAAGGATGCTAGTTGGATATTATTTGCAATAATCTGGTCGGGCGGTTTCCAAAGTAACCTCATTCACTAGAACCACTTATATTGACTGGAATCACTTATACCTTAGAAATGATAAGTGAGGAGCCTATGACGTCATCTTGACGATGGTTGAGGTATATCACTGTTACTCTGATTTTGAGGTCCAAGGTTGACAATGGGTTCTTACTTTGCTTTCACATGTCTGCTCCACATATAACGCTGGAGTGGCATTTGCGTAAGAGAGAGTCTGTGAACAGTAACACCACCACTAATGGGTTTTGTTCCCGTTTGGAGCTCGGAGAATATACCTACTCTCAGCTCTGCTAGCGCAACCCCCACAGAAAAGCTTATTCTGAACTAGATCACACTGTTGTGGCTTAGGCAAAATGGCTGATCAGTGCAGTCGGTAATCTGGCACATGCCTCAGTGACGTAAGAGGTTGGCATTTTTGTCGCTAGTGCAGACTTGAATTAGGCTAAAAACTCCACCTTTTTTTGCCACTCTAATTTTTAGCCCGGGTAGCTGAAATTGTTCAGTATTTTTCCAGTGACATGGTTTCCCGAAATGATGCCGACAGCGGTCTTTCCCCCATAGGCTAATCCCATTGTGACAGTTCACTCTGATTAATCAGTGATATGTCAACAGGGAATCAGTCACCATGGTAGCCATCTCTGACAACCAAGCTGAGTGAAGGCAGTCATTTTGTTTAATGAGTCATCACCAGAGACTGAAACTAACTTTTTGGTCCACCAGCCACTGTGGCAGGTAAATACAAAAATCTACCAGCAACTGCTTTTTTTTACCAGCCATATTTTTTGTTCTATAATTACCACAAAAAAACCAAAAACAAATGGATGAGCATGCTTTGTAATGTTTCTAAAACAATACATGTATTACTAGTAAGAAGTGATATGGTACAGTGCCTTCAGAAAGTATTCACACCCCTTGACTTTATCCACATTTTGTAGTGTTCCAGCCTGAATTTTAAATTGATTAAATTGAGATGTTGTGTCACTGGCCTACACACAATACCCCATAATGTCAAAGTGGAATCATGTTTTTAGAAATGTACACTGAACAAACATATGAACGCAACATGTAAAGTATTGGTCCCATGTTTCATGAGCTGAAATAAAAGATCCCAGAAATGTTCCATACGCACAAAAAGCTTATTTCTCTCAGTTTGTGCACACATTTGTTTACATCCCTGTTAGTGAGCATTTCTCCTTTGCCAAGATAATCCATCCACCTGACAAGTGTGGCATATCAAGAAGCTGATTAAACAGCATGATCATTACACAGGTGCATCTTGTGCTGGAGACAATAAAAGGCCACTCTAAAATGTGCGGTTTTGTCACACAACACAATGCTACAGATGTCTGAAGTTTTGAGGGAGCGTGTAATTGGCATGCTGAAATGCAGGAATGTCCACCAGAGCTGTTGCCAGATAATTTAATGTTAATTTCTCTACCATATGCTGCCTCCAACGTCGTTTTAGAGAATTTGACAGTACGTCCAACTGGCCTCACAACCACAGACCACATTCAACCACGCCAGCCCAGGACCGCCACATACGGTTTCTTCACCTGCGGGATCGTCTGGGACCAGCCACCCAGACAGCTGATGAAACTGTAGGTTTGCACAACCGAAGAATTTCTGCACAAACTGTCAGAAACAGTCTCAGGGAAGCTCATCTGCGTGCTTGTCATCCTCACCAGGGTCTTGACCTGACTGCAGTTCGGCGTCGTAACCGACTTTAGAGGGCAAATGCTCACCTTCGATGGCCATTGGCACGCTGGAGAAGTGTGCTCTTCACGGATGGATCCCGGTTTCAACTGTACTGGGCAGATGGCAGACGTATGGCGTCGTGAGGGCAAGTGGTTTGCTGCTGTCAACATTGTGAACAGAGTGCCCCATGGTGGCGGTGGGGTTATGGTACGGGCAGGCATAACCACGGACAATTAATACAATCGCATTTTATCGATGGCAATTTGAATGCACAAAGATACCGTGACGAGATCCTGAGGCCCATTGTCTTGCCATTCATCCGCCATCACCTCCTGTTTCAGCATGATAATGCACCCATGTCGCAAGGATCTGTACACAATTCCCGGAAGCTGAAACTGTCCCAGTTCTTCCATGGCCTGCATACTCACCAGACATGTCACCCATTGAGCATGTATGGATGCTCTGGATCGACGTGTACGACAGCGTGTTCCAGTTCCCGCCAATATTCAGCAACTTCACACAGCCATTGAAGAGGAGTGGGACAACATTCCACAGGCCACAATCCACAGCCTGTTCAACTCTATACGAAGGAGGTGTCACACTGCATGAGGTAAATGGTGGCCACACCAGATACTGACTGGTTTTCTGATCCACACCCTTATCTTTTTTTTAAGGTATCTGTGACCAACAGATGTACAGTGGGGAGAACAAGTATTTGATACACTGCTGATTTTGCAGGTTTTCCTACTTACAAAGCATGTAGAGGTCTGTAATTGTTATCATAGGTACACTTCAACTGTGAGAGACGGAATCTAAAACAAAAATCCAGAAAATCACATTGTATGATTTTTAAGTAATTAATTTGCATTTTATTGCATGACATAAGTATTTGATACATCAGAAAAGCAGAACTTAATATTTGGTACAGAAACCTTTGTTTGCAATTACAGAGATCATATGTTTCCTGTAGGTCTTGACCAGGTTTGCACACACTGCAGCAGGGATTTTGGCCCACTCCTCCATACAGACCTTCTCCAGATCCTTCAGGTTTCGGGGCTGTCGCTGGGCAATACGGACGTTCAGCTCCCTCCAAATATTTTCTATTGGGTTCAGGTCTGGACTGGCTAGGCCACTCCAGGACCTTGAGATGCTTCTTACGGAGCCACTCCCTCCTTGCCCTGGCTGTGTGTTTCGGGTCGTTGTCATGCTGGAAGACCCAGCCACGACCCATCTTCAATGCTCTTACTGAGGGAAGGAGGTTGTTGGCCAAGATCTCGCGATACATGGCCCCATTCATCCTCCCCATCAATACGGTGCAGTTGTCCTGTCCCCTTTGCAGAAAAGCATCCCCAAAGAATGATGTTTCCACCTCCATGCTTCACGGTTGGGATGGTGTTCTTGGGGTTGTACTCATCCTTCTTTTTTTTTTTACATTTTACATTTTTAGTCATTTAGCAGACGCTCTTATCCAGAGCGACTTACAGTTAGTGAGTGCATACATAATTTTTTTATTTTTCATACTGGCCCCCCGTGGGAATCAAACCCACAACCCTGGCATTGCAAACGCCATGCTCTACCAACTGAGCTACATCCCTGCCGGCCATTCCCTCCCCTACCCTGGACGACGCTGGGCCAATTGTGCGCCGCCCATGAGTCTCCCGGTCGCGGCCGGCTGCGACAGAGCCTGGATTCGAACCAGGATCTCTAGTGGCACAGTTAGCACTGCGATGCAGTGCCTTAGACCACTGCGCCACTCAGGAGTTCTTCTTCCCTCCAAACACGGCGAGTGGCGTTTAGACCAAAAAGCTATATTTCTGTCTCATCAGACCACATGACCTTCTCCCATTCCTCCTCTGGATCATCCAGATGGTCATTGGCAAACTTCAGACGGGCCTGGACATGCGCTGGCTTGAGCAGGGGGACCTTGCGTGCGCTGCAGGATTTTAATCCATGACGGCGTAGTGTGTTACTAATGGTTTTCATTGAGACTGTGGTCCCAGCTCTCTTCAGGTCATTGACCAGGTCCTGCCGTGTAGTTCTGGGCTGATCCCTCACCTTCCTCATGATCATTGATGCCCCACGAGGTGAGATCTTGCATGGAGCCCCAGACCGAGGGTGATTGACCGTCATCTTTAACTTCTTCCATTTTCTAATAATTGCGCCAACAGTTGTTGCCTTCTCACCAAGCTGCTTGCCTATTGTCCTGTAGCCCATCCCAGCCTTGTGCAGGTCTACAATTTTATCCCTGATGTCCTTACACAGCTCTCTGGTCTTGGCCATTGTGGAGAGGATGGAGTCTGTTTGATTGAGTGTGTGGACAGGTGTCTTTTATACAGGTAACGAGTTCAAACAGGTGCAGTTAATACAGGTAATGAGTGGAGAACAGGAGGGCTTCTTAAAGAAAAACTAACAGGTCTGTGAGAGCTGGAATTCTTACTGGTTGGTAGGTGATCAAATACTTATGTCATGCAATAAAATGCAAATGAATTACTTAAAAATCATACAATGTGATTTTCTGGATTTTTGTTTTAGATTCCATCTCTCACAGTTGAAGTGTACCTATGATTAAAATTACAGACCTCTACATGCTTTGTAAGTAGGAAAACCTGCAAAATCGGCAGGGTATCAAATACTTGTTCTCCCCACTGTATATCTGTATTCCCAGTCATGTGCAATCCATAGATTAGGGCTTAATGAATTTATTTAAATTGACTGATTTCCTTTTGTGAACTAACTTAGTAAGATCTTTGAAATTGTTACATGTTGCATTTATATTTTTGTTTAGTGTAATTAAAATGAAAAGCTGAAATGTCTTGAGTGAATAAGTATTCAACTCCTTTGTTATGGCAAACCTAAATAAATTCAGGAGTAATTCAGTAAAATGTGCTTAACCTCCCCAGAGTTGATTGACACACCTGTTGATGTATTTTTTGACTGTCTTTTTTTTTGCCATTTATGAATGTTATTCAATGCCTTTCAATGGGCTTTAGTAGTAAAGGCCAAAATCAATATTTTATCAAATAATTTTAATATATATATTTTTGATACCTAAAGGGGTCCTGAAATCCCAAATCAAATCGCTAAATGATTGTATGACCATCTTAAAACAATTCCATATTTCAGCTTAGCACCCCCCTCCCCCAACGTCTTAGACTATTGGTAGATAAAAAATAATAATAATTACAAGACATTTAATATCCTTTTGAGCATGGTGTAGTTATTAATTACACTTTGGATGGTGTATCAATACACCCAGTCACTACTAAGATACAGGTGGCCTTCCTAACTCAGTTGCTGGATAGAAAGGAAACTGTTCATGGATTTCAACATGACATTTACATTTTAGTCATTTAGCAGACGCTCTTATCCAGAGCGACTTACAGTTAGTGAGTGCATACATAATTTTTTTATTTTTCATACTGGCCCCCCGTGGGAATCAAACCCACAACCCTGGCATTGCAAAACGCCATGCTCTACCAACTGAGCTACATCCCTGCCGGCCATTCCCTCCCCTACCCTGGACGACGCTGGGCCAATTGTGCGCCGCCCCATGGGTCTCCAGGTCGCGGCCGGCTATGACAGAGACTGGATTCGAACCAGGATCTCTAGTGGCACAGCTAGCACTGCGATGCAGTGCCTTAGACCACTGCGCCACTCGGGAGACATGAGGCCAATGGTGACTTTAAAACAGAGTTTAATGGCTGTGATAGGAGACCTGAGGATGGATCAACAACATTGTACTTACTCCACAATACTAACCTAAATGACAGATGGAAAAAAGCATCCGGTTTGCAATAAGGCACTAAAGTAAAACTGCAACAAATTTGGTCAAGAAATGAACTTTATGTCCTGATTTGTCAAGCATGGTGGTGGCTGCATCATGTTGTGGGTATGCTTTTCATCGGCAAAGACTAGGGAGTTTTTTGGGATAAAAATAAACTGAATAGAGCTAAGCACAGGCAAAATCCTAGAGGAAAACCAGGTTGACTGCTTTCCAACAGACACTGGGAGACAAGTTCATCTTTCAGCAGGACAATAACCTAAAACACAAGGCCAAATATACACTGGAGTTGCTTACTAAGATGACATTGAATGTTCCTGAGTGGCCTCGTTACAGTTTTGACTTAAATTGGCTTGAAAATATATGGCAATGGCTGTCTAGCAATGATCAACAACAAACTTGACAGAGCTTGAATAATTTTATAAAAAATTATGTACAAATATTGTACAATCCAGGTGTGCAAAGCTCTTAGAGACTTGCCCAGAAAAACTCAGCTGCAATCGCTGCCGAAAGTGATTCTAACATGTATTGAGTCCGGTAGGGCTGGGTGGTATACCTTATTTTACGATATACCGGTATTGATGCACTGACCGGTTTGGGTTTTTACTTTACCTTACCTTATATAATGGTATTTGGATTTTTGGTTTGTTAAATTTGATACGCCGTGTGTAACGTCCATTTTTATAGTTTACTCCGCTACTTGAGTCATCTCTCTCTCTCCATGCTGCTTTCCATACAGACCTAGCTCCGCCGCCTGTCACTCAAGGAGCGCATTTGTGGTTCCTCGACCACTAGACACTTGTGTTCAGTCTGCATGGTCAATGCATCACAGGCAGCAAAGTTGATGACAATGATGCTGTTTTCACTTTGCTTCTTAATATAAATCCACCAGCGTTATATAATTACACTATTAGTTTGTTTATTACATCTGCAAACGGCTAGTTTGTCTTAGCGAATGCTAATCGATAGTTAGCCAGCTGACTAGCTAGCTAATAAATGTACTGAGTCAGAGCAAACGTAAATAGCTATACAGCCTGATTATACCAGTGATGGTGTAGACCTAAATCAGCATGTTTGTGCAACAGTATCTTCTAAATCAAAGAGGAATAAGCAAAGCATGAATATGTTAGCTACATGAAGTAGCTAAGAGAAAATTCAATGTAGCCAAAGATTATAGGTTACCCTAGTCAATACTTTGATTCTTACCCTGTCACAATAACTCCTCCCTGGCATTTTCATTCGTTGTCATGTCGAACATCACTGTATTCAAAGTGCCCACTAATATATTCTAACTATAGAATTAGAATAATCATTCTATTTCCATGATTCCAACAGTTCACCCAAGTGTTTTGCTCTAAATCGCAGTTCAAATCGCAATTGCTACATTTGGTTAAAAATAAGGCCTAGATTGTTTGCCCATATCATGCAGCCCTACGTGGCAGTGTTGAAATGATTTCAAATGAGTGCAAGAAATGCAGAAGTTGATAAATGCAATACATTATTTTGGGTTGAAGATTTTACTTAGAATGTATGTGTTGCCACCCTAGGGTCACTCACTACTCATAAAGCAAATGTAGAATTGTTATTATTCAAAAACATAAAATACCGCCATACCGTCCAATTTCTTTTAAACACAGTGATAGGGGTGTGAATAGGATATTTCTTTATTTCATTGTCAATCAATTTGGAAACATTTCTAAAAACATGTTTTCACTTTGTCATTATGGGGTATTGTGTGTTAGATGGGTGAGAGAGAGAAAATAATCAATTTTGAATTCAGGCTGTCAAACAACAAAGTGTGGAAAAAGTCAAAGGGGTATGAATACTTTCTGAAGGCACTGCTCAAGGCACTGCTCAATGTAAAAATTATATGAATCCTTTAGTAATAATTGTGCCGTTCTTCTGTGTGTTCTCCATCACCTCCAGTCCGAGGTGGTGTTCCCGCTGTTGCAGTAACCCCTGTCCGGGGCCTCTGTGGTGTTCCTGATGCCCCTCGCCCACCCCTGAAGATCCCAGGTGGGCGAGGAAATGACCAGCGGGATCGCAATCTTTCAGCTAAGCTATTCTACTCTGTGAGTCCACTTTCCTATATCTCTCCTTCACATCCTCTGGCGTTAGGATACCTCCCTGTGTCAAACCTCTCTTCGTACCCGCTAATTTCTCTATTTTTTTCTTGCAGGATGCTCGGTTGCTGGTTCTTGAGGAGCCTCCCCCCACCAACGGCAGAGTCCGTTTCCTACTTTTTGAGCCCCGTCGCTCAGTGGGCAAGCACTGTGTCTGGAGGGGGGCACTGAAAGGGAGGAACATCTATATCGAGATCCCCCCTGGAGCCCTGCCTGAGGGCAGCAAAGACAGGTCAGTGATCCAATGCAAATACAACCTCTCCTTTGTCCTCTGGTTTCCTACTCCATTCTCCTTTTCAGCTCATTTATCACCTGATTTACTTAAAGGGAAAATCCACCCAAAACCACTCATTCCTTTATTTTACAGTGTTAAATAACACTAATATGTGAGAACAATATTTTTTGTGAACAGATATTTCATTTTGGCATTATAATAAGGTTGATAGCAACATGGTAAATCGTTGTGGGAATCTGTTGCAGCTCAAGTCGACTTCAAAATCTACAATGCAATGCTTTCTCTATGGGCTGGCTAGCTAGGTAGCTAGCTAGCTAGCAAATGCACCTACATACAATAATACCAAAGACAATATCAGCATGTAAAGTAGCTAGTTAGTTGTAAAATCGCCTAAACAAACTGCACTATCAATTTAGGAGTCTACAATCTCACCGCGTTCAACCTGCAGATCGATGCGCCTCAGAGTGGAGTCTGACATTCACAACGGCAGATATACTTTTGAGGAGATGGGAAACGTTGCCCATGCTACGTCAATGGGCCGTGCGGTGCATTCTGGGCGATTCTGGGACAAGGAGCGCTCTCCTTCAAGGAGTGAATGGGAGTCTATTGGGCGCAAGCTCTAAAACCCAACATTAGCACAAATTTTGTCAACAAGAAGTACAACATTAAAAATCTTTTCAGAGATGTGTGAATTTACTTGCTATCTGTGACGTCATATGGCTTTGGAATCGTAACGTTACGTACTTTCGAGCGAAATTGGCACGTTTCTTGACATATACACTGACTTTGAGAAGGGATTGTGTGACGCTTAGCAACTGCTTGATTCAGTATGACGACAACGTGAACGCGATTGGTCGACAGTCTGCTGGGTGGGGCGTTATACGTTCCTTCATTCATTGGATTCCTATCTCCTTTCTATAATATCTCTGGCAACGGCACCATGCAGTGCACCCTGGACTAAAGAGGCAGACACATAGGAAAATTTGCTAGACCCTCCGTTAAATTACAAATGTCCCGAGGTAGGAATATCGCAAAAATATGATCAATGGCTCATTCGAGAGAAGACATCCTCCCGAGTTATTACATCGGCCAGTATTGAAGTCTGTCATATATGATAGACATTTTCGCGATCTTAAAGTCGTATTCCTATTAACTTCCAGTGTAATGAGAGCGACTTTATCACAATACTAAGTCATACCGGCCAAATTTCTGCCTGCTTGAACTCCAGTAACTCGGATACACATGATATGACCCAGGGAATCGATAGAACATCACTCAGAGATGCACAAAAACAATACAACATTCAAAATGGGTGACCCTTTCCTTTAACAAAAGGCACATCTCAATAGCTGGTCCAGGTATCCTCATGAAATGGCACAAGTGGGCGGGGTGGGCCTTTCCTCTTTTGTTCTCTATTGTTCCTCAAGCAAGGGTGGAGGCCAATGACACCACTAATCCCCATGAGACCAACTCCTTGAATGCCCTACTCTTTTTTGCAGTTGTCTAAAACCTTATTTTGTTCAAAATATATTTTGTTACCCCTTAGTGTGTGTTTTACTGTATTTATTTATACTTGGGATAATGCTTTTCAACAGTAAAACGTTTTTTAAAAATCGCTGGATGATGTCTTTAACCTCTTAAGGAGCCGGACCCCTTTTTTTCAATTTTCACCTAAAATGACATACCCAAATCTAACTGCCTGTAGCTCAGGACCTGAAGCAAGGATATGCATTTTCTTCATACCATTTGAAAGGAAACACTTTTAAGTTTGTGGAAATGTGAAATTAATGTAGGAGAATATAACACATTAGATCTGGTAAAAGATAATACAAACCAAAAAACATGCAAAAATTTTTTTTGCCATCTTTGAAATGCAAGAGAAAGGCCACAATATAATATTGCAATTTAGATTTTGGCCATTGGATGGTGCAGTGTGTGTGCAAAGTTTGAGATTGATCCAGTGAAGCGTTGCAATACTGGACTATTTTGTATCAAGTCTGCTCAAATGTATCGAATTGGTCAATTGATACATTTTCAAGTACATAACTATAGAGAACATACAAAAATGATATGGTAATACAAAATGTAAGTTTACACATTCCCAGGAATGTCATACATGATGGATCATTAGCTTATACACTAACTTTCACACATCTAGATGGCCGGGCGGGGTATGTGTGGCGCCAGAGACAGCAGGGGTTCAAACTGTAGAACCCAGTTCCTACATTTGAATATAAACATTTATTTTATCAAACAAAACTATGCTACATTTTATCTCGGGGACCTTCAGGATGACAAATCAGAGCAAAGATTACTGAATGTAAGTACATTATTTACCTTCAGAGGTGAATGTATCAAACCAGTTGCCGTGATACGTTTTTTGTTGTTGTGCACTCTCCTCAAACAATAGCATGATCTTTTTTCACTGTAATAGCTACTGTGAATTGGACAGTGCAGTTGGATTAACAAGAATTTAAGCTTTCTGCCCATATAAGACATGTCTATGTCCTGGAAAGTTTGCTGTTACCTACAACAGTCATGTTAATCACATTAGCGCACGTTAGCTCAACCGTCCCGTATACGGGACACCGATCCCGTAGAGGTTAAGACTGTTTTTGTTTTCTTTAAACCAGATGGACTCTGTTTATATTGCACTGCCTTAATAGCTCATTGATTTACTTCCCTTCTCCAGTTTCGCTCTCCTGCTGGAGTTTGCGGAAGAGAAGCTGCAGGTTGACCATGTCTTCATCTGCTTCCACAAGAACCGAGACGACAGAGGTAAGTCCCTGTGTGTGTGTGTCCAGTCAACCCCTCTTTTTATACTTTATTATTTTGTTATGAGTCTTCTCACACTACCCTTTCTCTCGCTCTCTCTCTCTCCAGCATCTCTGCTGCGTACCTTCAGCTTCCTGGGCTTTGAGATTGTGAGACCAGGTCATCCCCTCGTCCCTACCCGCCCCGACGCTTTCTTCATGGCTTACAGCATCGAACGAGACTCCTCTGACGACGAATAACCGATCACACACAAGTTTGCTTTTATGTACCCTTCCCCATCCCACTCTATCACTTAGGGAAAATACATATTATCAAAACTCAGTAAGTTGAGGTTTCCTGTGAAATTTTCTGTTTATTACCTTTGATGTGCTGTATTACAATGACATTTGCACTAGTGTGTAATGTTAAACCAGGAATGTACACATCTGGAAAATGTTTCCTCACCACTGTAATCATTTCCATGTGTAGTGCTGATTTCCCCCTCCCCCATCCACCACAATGATAATCTCTAGGATGTAATATTTATGGTAATTTCCATGCAGCATACTCATGTAATTAGTTATGTTTTTTGGGCTATTTCAAGTTGATTTTCATGTTTAGTAAAAAAAAATGTGTGCATGAATTTCGATTTCTAGTTTTGATTCACTTGACTGAAATCTGCATGTTGTAACAAGTGCGCGAATAAAAGTGCTCACCTTAACAAGTGGATTTTGATTTCTAGTTATATGTTGTAGAAATTAGGTACAGGGCAGTGAAATATGTGAAGATTTGTACAAGAAGTACAATTTGTGGATATGTAGACCAGAGGGATATACCAGAGTTGTAAAAGCATAATCTGTTAAAATCGATAGACATCAGTCTGTCGGTGTTGAATTTCACCTAGTGCACTGTAAGTTGATATTTAAAAATCATTACTGTGTTCTAATGGAGCTCCTTGGATCCATGAAAGGTTAATGGTAGTGCATATACACTGAGTGTAGAAAACATTAGGAACACCTTCTCTTTCCATGACGTAGACTGACCAAGTGAATCCATGTGAAAGCTACGACCCCTTATTGATGTCACTTGTTAAATTCACTTCAATCAGTGTAGATGAAGGGGTGGGGACGGATTAAAGAAGGATTTGTGTGTCAAGAATTGCAACGCTGCTGGATTTTTCCTGTTTCCCGTGTGTATCAAGAATGATCCACCACCCAAAGCACATCCAGCCAAAGCACATCCAGACATTGGAGTCAAAATGGGCCAGCATCCCTGTGGAATGCTTTCGACACATTGTAGAGTCCATGCCCCGATGAATTGAGGCTGTTCTGAGGGCAAAAGGTGGTGCAACTCAATATTAGGAAGGTGTACATTTGATTAGCTTTCATTTGGTTCATTGAGTTGATATAAAATGTGGTTAATATCCTTGGAAAACCCTTTAATGGAGGAAAAAAGCGAACCTTTTTTGCATTCCAGATGTTCTAGATACATTCTGACTACATGAACGTTTAAAATCATCCACATTACACATTAGATTAGAGGATCAATAATTCAAGCAGTGGACTTCAATTAACATATTTGAAATAGACATGAGTATTGTTGTGAGTAATGACAACTTCCAGTCCACTGTGTTCTGGAGTCTTAGTCGTGCCGTGGTCCTCATCACAGTCTTGGAGTCATTGAAGGAGAGGTACTGCAGACACAGGAAGCGTTCCCAGTCCAGACTGGGCTGGTCCTGAATCAATCAGCCCTATCTCTGCCAACTTCAGCAACAGAAGTGCCTGCTTGACTGACAGCCAGTTGTGCAGAGTGAAAGGCCCAGTGGGATTTAGCCTGAAGAGCTTAGTACATGGACCGCAGAGCCTGCAGGACCCCACACTACGTCTGCTATCTGTAGCCCATTACACCTATCCTGAAGCCAGGAGGCGAGCTGGAGAAGCCATGGTAGATATGGGGAGTTCTAGGTGGCGTCATCTGAACTCTGTGTCTGCTGAGAGGTAGCGTTGTCAGGGAGGTGCAGGCAGTACTCTAGCAATGCTCAGAGCTGAGACTGTATGGATGTAGCAGCATGAACAGGCTGAGAGAGAGTAAGGTAATGGGTCAACACCACTTGAGAGGCTCCCCAGTTTCTCCATAGGGTCTGAATCCTCCCTTCGCCTTCTTTTTTTCATACTCTAAGAACTCTTCACTTTCTCCTGCTTTATCTGCCATGGTGCCGGCATTGATTGTCCTTTTTCATCATTTGCCTTTCCTGCTGTTTCCTCTCCCTCTGTTTTCTCCCCTCTCACCCCTTGGCCATACCAGTAAGATGCACTGTGCCCTCAGCGCAGGTGGCTGCGTTGCTGCACAGGTGTTGAAACCCCAAGGCCAACTGTAGCAGCAGAATACTCACTTGCCTCTCATAGACTAGTAGTTGAAAGCTCTGCAGGACCCTTCCCTCTTGTATAAAGTCTTCCAAAGTAGCCTGTGGTTGGTAAGTCTCTCTCAATTGTCACTGTGTATCCCATGTGCAATAGTGAAACAACTGTAGACCGGGCCACCGCTGTCCTCAGGCTCTGCTTGATTTTTGTCTGCCTCAATCTGGTGATTCTGTCACTGATCAGACTGTGAGGAGTCTGAAGTGATTGTGGTTTTGATTCCAGGTTCTTTCTCCAATGCTGAGCATGATAGGAAAGATACAATGACCTGCTGAATGTTGACATGGGGCGGCACTGAGGTAGGATGAGATGAGGGGGAAACTTCACTGTTTACCTGGGAGAAAATTAGAACATCCAAAAAACGTTCCTTTCGTAAACAAGTCACATTCAAAGTTGGTTGGCTCCTCTATTGTACAGTCTTACAAAACAGCTCTTTCTAACCCATGGATGTTTGCTGTTGTCTTTGCAGTCTGTTGGGTTGCTCAACACCTGTTTGCAGTTCAGAGGACGTGTGTGTCACGGGGGTTTGAACATGTGAGTTAGGGGTTACCAAACTTGCCATATAAGGGTGCAGATCATGACTGTGGCTTGAGGTAGAACATAGAAATACCCCTTTTTTGTTATTATCTTCTGTTTTTGATTGTGGCTATTTGCATTTGGTTTGCTGTGTTTGCATTCAGCTTGACTTTTGCACTGTGCGTATGACTCAAGTATGAATACTGCGTAGGCTATATATTATGAGTATAAGCTATATATTATGAGTATAGCATCATCCCTGGAAACGTTGGGCTATGCAGGCTGTGGTACAGTGAACCTGCTATCTGCATGGGCTGGTCGTTTTCACACAACAGGAAATCTTGGGGCTGAAATGCACCAACTCCTTCACTGGACTCTCTCATCAGGAGAACCCCAGCCTCCAGGTGCTGTGCCATACTTCTCAGGAACAGTAGGTAGTGATGCTGAATGCCTTGAGAAATATTCCCCTGGTTGTAGAACTGCTGAAGAAATAGTGAACCTGTTCGTCAGGTGTATCGAAGTTCAGTTGAGATAGGGGCTGCAAGTGGAGAGGGCTCTTCTGGACTGGTCTTTCTTTGTCTCTCTCTACATGGGGCTGAGTGTCTGTGATGGGGGTAGAGAGTATTGTCATAGTTTTGGTGACGGCAGGGTAGCAGGCACTGGGGAGATAGGACACAGATAGACCCCTGGTAGGGATAGGGTGCAAGCCAGCATCTTCTTGGGCACTGGTGGTGGGGTGGTGCTATTTCAGGAAAATCTCTCTTGATGACGGTAAGAGGGTTCTGAGAGTTAGTGGTAAGTACAGAACATGTCATTGTCAGAACATACATTTTCCAGAGAAGTCATTGCCTAGTTTCATACTTTGACTCTCTATAATTATTGAGAACTTCTTCAGAATAAGGAAGAGAAAATACAGAAGAAGAGTTACACTTAAGAAATAAGGCCTGAGGAGATGTGGTATATTGGCCATATAGCACAAACCCTCGAGGTGCCTTATTGCTATTATAAACAGGTTACCAATGATATTAGAACAGTAAACAAGTAGTTTTGCGTCATATGAGACAATATACCACGGCTTTCAGACAATCAGCATTCAGGGCTCGAACTACCCGGTTTTTAATGAAAGAGATAAACGGTTGTAGGCTATGTAGATTAAACAGTTGACAGGAGCTTCTGTATTTAGTTGAGATCGTGACAATGTTATGGTTACAGCGGGCCTCTATCAGCATAGGTCTGGTTTCAGGTGTCACTTCCTTCCATTCATTTTACATGAGAAAAGGGAATCGGGGTCAGACAAGAATGGAAAATGAGAGGCTAAAATACAACTGCTATTCATTTCTTAACTTCAGGTTGGAAAAAGTAAATGTCTAAAGAATTTATATTCTTATCCATTTCATCATTTAAATCAACTGAATAATATAATACTACAGTGACTGATAAAGTAAGATGGTTGTTGTACTCACCATAGCGCTTGTGTATGGGTCACTGGGGTGCATGGCAGTCAGTGGCTGCAGAGAACACATCTGTGCAGGTTGAACCCTGGTGCTGATGGGGTCCCAATGGCCTAGAGACACTCCCATCCAGCTCCAGGTCCACACTGAAACCACGCGAGTAGAGACTCCTAAACATATCCACACAAACACCCACACATCCACACACCCACATGCATACACACATTACACACACAACTGTAATTCACAATCAGTAATTTATCTGCTATCCTTTGTCCTGCTGACTTCAAATAAGTGCCTACAGTACAGAAGCTGTATAGCGCTCTATGCAGTGTCTTGACAGTCTCTCTGAACCTTCAAATGCTTCAAATATGTGAGTTTTAAAGCACCGGGTTTTAAAGCACAGTGTTGCTGGGTTTTCGTCTTACCTGCACTGTTTGATAGGCAATACTCGGGGTCCACTCACTCACTCACTCACTCAGTCACTCACACTCTCTCTCTCTCACTCACTCTCTCTACCGGAAAAGTAGTGTCTGTGTGAGGGCATATCAGTACATATGCAGTAACCTCAACTTCAAAATAAGGAAGAACACCAAAAAGAAACCCCCAACCACACACACTCTTTTTTTTCTCACTCTCCTTTTTAGTTAGATCCATCACACACTTGGTCTCTGCCTCCATTGTACTTTGCCTTTTTCTTCTTCAATGTGCAATCCCCCAATTACTTTGGGATGCATTTGTTTTGTCAAGCACGTGTGAATGCATGTTGTACACTGTACCCCCATAAAGATAATTAGTGTCTTTGTTTTATAAACAATTTAGCATAACGAAGTGTCTGAGCTGTGTTGTTTTGTCAACTCTACAACTGTTTTATTGTAATTACCCTGATGTTCATTGTGTGTGCTCATTATCATGAGGCACAATGTTTATGATTGAGTGAATCCCTGCTTAGGTCTATGGTAGAGGCTCATACGCACAAGGGCACTGTACGTGGTCATGCAGCCATTTCCATTTATCAGCTTTGTCATCATTGTGATCACTCTAATTGATGTTCCTAGTAATGATGCAACATTTTGTGGGTGCTATAGACCTATTCATATTTCAGTACAGTCCATCTAGGGTTGTAGAGGGTCTTTGGCTTATCATGGAGAACATCATTGAAGGTATCTGGCTTGATTAACAATCACCCTACTTGGACATTCAGTCCTTGGGAGATGGGAGGTTGGACCTGTTGTTGTTGAAGTGCACAGAAGGATTAGAATTCATACAGGTATAACAATAGCACACTGTAGGCCTATTGCTTAGCATGAATAGGTTTAAACAAGCTTGTAAATTCAACTTTCTTAATTTGCAGTAGGCATTATTCTGAAAATGAATATCTTGTTCCATTATCTTATTTAAATATATTAGGCCAAGTGCTCTTCAGACAAGGGGGTTTGTGTGATTTTTTTTTAGAATTAGAGGGTTTCATCTTTGGTCTTTATTCCACAGTGAGGCACTCTCCCTCTTAATGATCATCTAGATCTGAGAGAGAGAGATAATGAGTATCAGTAGAAGGCTGAAGAGTAGACATCATTAGGCGCTACTGTCCTTTCCCTTAAGAGCCCCTCATATACTGAGAGACAAAGAGAACAGGGTCTATCTCACAGCAGACGTTGCGTCAGCACACATTGAACAACATGCACTTCAGCTTTACAGACTGTTGGACATGTGGCCCATACAATCTCTCACCTGGAACAGATTGAGTTGCTGAAATACATAATCCTTTATGATATGTAACTTTAAATGGTAATCTGAAGAGTGTAGTAAACCATTGAATATATACAGCTATTCTATGTGATGTTAATGATAGTGCATGGTAGATTGGGATCTCTGTTAAAATTCAGTTGGGAAGATTAAGGCTTCAAGGCCCAGTGCAGAGAAAAACTAGATTTTCCTGTGTTTTATATATATTTCCACACTACGTGGTTGGAATAATACTGTGAAATTGTGAAAATTATGACAATGCCCTTTAAGTGTAAGAGCTGTTTGAAAAGACCGCTTGAAATGTCAGCCTGTTTTGGTGGGATGTTTTTGCTTGCCTGGTGACATCACCAGGCGGTTTAGACCAATAAGAAAGAGAGTTCCAATCCTCTCTGCCAATAACAGCTAGTTCCAGTTTTCCCCTCCCCACTCAGACCACTCCCAGACAGTCCTAGCAAAATGATTGCTTGAGAAATTGAGCTTTGTTTCTTTTTGACCATTTTAATTGAAAACAATCACAGTAAGGGACTTAATTGTTACCCAGAAATTATTTGATATTGAGATGAATACGGCTGCATTGGACCTTTAAAACATACAGACATAAGGCTAGCCATAGTGGGGATCTATATACTGTAGGTCTGAAGGGGCTGACACTGCTGCTGACACTGGTGCTGACAAAGGTGGTTAGGGATTGGAATCCATTAGTATAAAGACATGAATGCACATCCACAACCATGATGATATAATCCATGGGATAGCCTACACCATCTCAGTTAGATTTATTTTGAGGGACAATATTATTCATAAAAATGTTTACTTTCATTATCAATCCAACAAGTGTGTCTTGGAAATTGGAAATCTTTTTAAAAATGTATATAGATTGATGCATGTAGCCATAGCTAGTATACTAGCTAGTCATCTGGATTTCATGAAATATTGACTTGTCTTTAGAGGAGACTGTTTATGAAAGGCTTCTTCATGGCATTTAAACAAAATAATAATATGCCATTTAGCAGACGCTTTTATCCAAAGCGACTTACAGTCATGCGTGCATACATTTTTGTGTATGGGTGGTCCCGGGGATCGAACCCACTACCTTGGCGTTACAAGCACCGTGCTCTACCAGCTGAGCTACAGAGGACCACCAAATGATTAATTCAGGATCAGCTTTCATATGAATGCAATGTTTTATTGTTGGATTTGACCGAACACCAATACAATGCATCACATTAATTAATATGTGAGGAACTGAAAATGTGCAAATACTGTCTATAGGCCTACTGTTTATATCGCAAATGGGTCCTTAGCAAAACATGCTGAAGTAGAGCATGCATATTCAAGATACATCTGTAAGCTGTAGAAACGTATTGTTGGTTATTTCCTGTAATGTAAAGGGTATCCTACTATCCTTATTACTTATTTTCTGATTGAACAATCACTTGATCTCCTGAGTGGTGAAGTGTTTGCGTAGAACTCCCCACAGCCGACATTTAGGTTTAACTCCTGTGGCATGTTTCTGTGAGGATGAGACTGGGGAGATGGTTTGCTCTATCTCCTCCTTTGGTGCTGCTTCAGTCTGTGAGATACTATATTCTCTGGAGAGGTGTTGTACGGTAGACGACCGTCTGGAGGCATTGGTTTTGATGTGAATGGCCTGTGTCCTGTGGTGGACGCTGTCCTCATCCTTGTGTAGCCGCCGGAGCCCAGCTTGGAAGAGCAGAGCCTCCTCGTTGGCCATCTGAGGGCTCTGACTCAGGGTGACAAAGCCGTATGGGGTGGTGACCTTGGCAAGGTGAGGCAGAGACAGGGCAGCTCTGGTGGTTGGGTCGGGACAGTGCTCAGGCTCCAGGTAGGGGCTGGGGTACGAACTCTCCCTGTGGAGGGGAGACCGCCTTTGGATGAAGGGGTCTGAGATGGTCCGGTGGGCTTTTCTCTCAGTTGAAGACACAAAGCTCGAGGATGAAGCTGATAAAGAGAGTGAAGATGCTGAAAGAGATAAAAAGCCGGTGTCCACTTCAGGGCTCCCAAAACCTTCCTCTGCCTCCTCTCCATCATCCCCTTGGGAATGGTGAAGACTGGGAATGGTAAACTGTGGAATGCTGCCAGGCGTCAGAATATTGCTGAAGATGTTGTCCTTACTTGAGTGGCAGTCTGATCCGAAGGAACTCCCGAGAGAGCGCGCGCTGGAGGTGGCCCACAAAAGCGCACGCATCCCCGCACAACTGTGCCTGTGCGACGTGGGGAAATCACACATTTCTGCGGCATTGAAGGGTTTTGCGCTACTGCCAATAGTTCCATTGCTGATGGTGCGCGTCACTGTAATATTTTTGTTCATTGTGGCTGTTGTGTGTGTGTGTGTCTCTCCCGTTCAGCAGTGCGCGTCTTGGGTAGGCTAGACTGGTCTGGAGAGAAACCAGCGGGGCTTTATGCCCGTGACTTCCCCCTCACCCCCTCCTGATCTCCCACTTTGGAGTACCGTGTGTGCGTAAATGTGACGGTGTCTGTCTAGTAGCGGAAGCTCTAACCAAGTGTGGTTATTTCTGTTCAGAGGGATGGACCTAATTAACAAAATAAAATAAATATCTTCACTGTTTAATAAGAACAAAACAAAACAAGAATTTCCCTTGTAAAGAGGTAGCTGTTGGCATTATTGCAAATGTTGTGCTTTTTTGTTCAGTTTATTCTATTTTTTTTATATAGCCTACTCACTTTCAATCATATATTATAGGCCTACAGTCAGTGGTGGAAAAAGTACCCAATTGTCATACTTAAAAAAGTAAAGACCTTAATAGAAAATGCCTCAAGTAATAGTGAAAGTCACCCAGTAAAATACTACTTGAGTAAAAGTCTAAACGTATTTAGTTTTAAATATACTTAAGTATCAAAAGTAAATGTAATTGCCAAAATATACTTAAGTAGGCCTATCAAAAGTAAAAGTATAACTCATTTCACATTCCTTATATTATGCAAACCAGAGGGCACGATTTAATTTTTTTTTTTTTTTGCGGATAGCCAGGGGCACACTCCAACACTCAGACATAATTTACAAACTAAGCATTTGTGTTTAGGGAGTCCGCCAGATCTGTCACAAATACAGCCGAGGCTGCCCCTCCTCCTTGCTCGGGCAGGCTTCGGCGTTCGTCGTCACCGGAGTACTAGCTGCCACCGATCGATGTTTCTGTGTTACACTAGTCTTGTCTTTATTATTCACACCTGTTACCCATTATGCTTATTTGTTTCCCTATAATTACCTCTGTTTTCCCTCCTGGGTTTGTGCGTGATTGTCCGTTGTTTTAGGGTTTGTTATGGTTTACTTTTGTTTTAGTAAATCCATTCATTTCTCAGTTCTGTGTCCTGCGCCTGATTCCGTTTCACCACCATCCAGACGTTGACAAGATCAGAGGTAGTAGGGATGACCAGGGCTGTTCTCTTGATAAGTGTGTGAATTGGACAATTTTTCTGTCCTGCTAAGCATTTGAAATGTAACGAGTACTTTTGGGTGTCAGGGAAAATGTATGGAGTAAAAAGTACATTATTTCCTTTTGGAGAGTAAAAGTAGTCAAACATAGCTAGCTGTGCCACTAGAGATCCTGGTTCGAATCCAGGCTCTGTCGTAGCTGGCCGCGACCGGGAGACCCATGGGGCGGCGCACAATTGGCCCAGCGTCGTCCAGGGTAGGGGAGGGAATGGCCGGCAGGGATGTAGCTCAGTTGGTAGAGCATGGCGTTTGCAACGCCAGGGTTGTGGGTTTGATTCCCATGAAAAAAATCAAAAATAATAATGTATGCACTAACTGTAAGTCGCTCTGGATAAGAGCGTCTGCTAAAATGTAAAATATGAATAGTAGTAGGCTAAGTAAAGCAGGGGTGCAACTTATTTTTTATATAAACACTCCAAACAGCCTACCTGACCGCTCGGAGGTGTCCGCATGGTCCTAAAGCACAGCATTGCCTACTTTTGTATCACATTCCAATGATAAAACTGGGGGGGACAAAAATGCAATTTCTGAATGTGGGGGGACATGTCCCCCTGTCCCCCAGTGAACGTTGTGACCCTGAAGTAAAGTACCAAAAAACTACTTAAGTAGTACTTTAACCTTTATGGCAGGGTTCTTCAATTCCGGTCCTGGAGGGCCGAAACACCTCTGTTTTTCATCCTCTCCTTCTAATCAGGGGCTAATTCAGCCTGGGACACCAGGTGAGTGCAATTAACTACCAGGTAGAAATAAAAAAACAGAAGTGTTTCGGCCCTCCAGGACCAGAATTGAAGAACCCTGCTCTATGGGATTGGTGTCCCGTAAACGGGACGGTTGAGCTAACATGCGCTAATGTGATTAGCATGACTGTTGTAAGTAACAGCAAACTTTCCAGGACATAGACATGTCTTATATGGGCACAAGAATAGACTGACGAGTTTCAGAAGAAAGTTATTTGTTTCTGGCCATTTTGAGCCTGTAATCGAACCCACAATTGCTGATGCTCCAGATACTTAACGAGTCTCAAGAAGGCCAGTTTTATTGCTTCTTTAATCAGCACAACAGTTTTCAGCTGTGCTAACATAATTGCAAGGGTTTTCTAATGATCAATTAGCCTTTTAAAATGATAAACTTGGATTAGCAAACACAACGTGCCATTGGAACATAGGACTGATGGTTTCTGATAATGGGCCTCTGTATGCCTATGTAGATATTCCATAAAAAATCTGCTGTTTCCAGCTACAATAGCCATTTACAACATTAACAATGTCTACACTGTATTTCTGATCAATTTTATGTTATTTTAATGGACAAAAAAATTGCTTTTCTTTCGAAAACAAGGACATTTCTAAGTGACCCCAAACTTTTGAACGGTAGTGTACATTCAGTAATCTTGTTCTGATTTGTCATCCTAAGGGTCCCAGAGATAAAATGTAGCATAGTTTTGTTTGATAAAATCCATTTTTATATTCAATTGTAGGAACTGGGTTCTACAGTTTGAACCCCTGCCGTCTCTGGCTCCACACCCACCCCGCCCGGCCATCTAGATGTGTGAAAGTTAGTGTATAAGCTAATGATCCATCATGTATGACATTCCTGGGAGTGTGTAAACTTACATTTTGTATTACCATATCATTTTTGTATGTTCTCTGTAGTTATGTACTTGAAAATGTATCAATTGACCAATTTGGCACATTTGGGCAGACTTGATACAAAATAGTCCAGTATTGCAATGCTTCACTGGCTCAAGCTGAAACTTTACACACACGCCTAAACTGCAATATTATATTGTGGCCATTCTCTTGCTTTTCAAAGATGATTAAAAAGAGAACGCATGTTTTTTTGTTTGTATGATCTTTTACCAGATCTAATGTGTTATTCTCCTACATTAATTTCACATTTCATTTACATTACATTTTATTTACATTTCCACAAACTGCAAAGTGTTTCCTTTCAAATGGTATCAAGAATATGCATATCCTTGCTACAGGCAGTTAGATTTGGGTATGTCATTTTAGGCAAAAATTGAAAAGAAGGGTCAGATCCTTAAGATGTTAAAGTATTTTTACTTAAGTACTTTACACCACTGCCTATGGCTGAACAATTAATGAAATGGCCACCTGGACTATTTACATTGACCCCCCCCCCCCCCCCCCCCCCCCTTTGTTTTTACACTGCTGCTACTCGCTGTTTATTATCTATGCATAGTCACTTTACCCCTACCTACATGTACAAATTACCTCGACTAACCTGTACCCCCGCACATTGACTCGGTACCGGTACCCCCTGTATAAAGTCTCGTTATTTTATTGTGTTACTTTATATTTTATTTTTTACTTTATTTTATTTAGTAAATATTTTCTTAAATCTATTTAATATATATTCCCCTTTATTACTTTCCAACCCCGCCACCCTTTCCCTACTTGAAGTAAACTAGAGAACAACAATGCTTAGGCCTCTACTTCCAGCTTATAGTTACTATATACATTTTATGGACACAGTCAATTTTACAATAATTATATTTTGTTTGTTTTTTCTCCTGAACTACTTCTACTCTCAACCTCTCCGATCATTTTCATGATGTCCATCCGGTTTGCTTCTACAGTGGGGAAAAAAAGTATTTAGTCAGCCACCAATTGTGCAAGTTCTCCCACTTAAAAAGATGAGAGGCCTGTAATTTTCATCATAGGTACACGTCAACTATGACAGACAAATTGAGAAAAAAACATCTAGAAAATCACATTGTAGGATTTTTAATGAATTTATTTGCAAATTATGGTGGAAAATAAGTATTTGGTCACCTACAAACAAGCAAGATTTATGGCTCTCACAGACCTGTAACTTCTTCTTTAAGAGGCTCCTCTGTCCTCCACTCTTTACCTGTATTAATGGCACCTGTTTGAACTTGTTATCAGTATAAAAGACACCTGTCCACAACCTCAAACAGTCACACTCCAAACTCCACTATGGCCAAGACCAAAGAGCTGTCAAAGGACACCAGAAACAAAATTGTAGACCTGCACCAGGCTGGGAAGACTGAATCTGCAATAGGTAAGCAGCTTGGTTTGAAGAAATCAACTGTGGGAGCAATTATTAGGAAATGGAAGACATACAAGACCACTGATAATCTCCCTCGATCTGGGGCTCCACGCAAGATCTCACCCCGTGGGGTCAAAATGATCACAAGATCGGTGAGCAAAAATCCCAGAACCACACGGGGGGACCTAGTGAATGACCTGCAGAGAGCTGGGACCAAAGTAACAAAGCCTACCATCAGTAACACACTACGCCGCCAGGGACTCAAATCCTGCAGTGCCAGACGTGTCCCCCTGCTTAAGCCAGTACATGTCCAGGCCCGTCTGAAGTTTGCTAGAGTGCATTTGGATGATCCAGAAGAGGATTGGGAGAATGTCATATGGTCAGATGAAACCAAAATATAACTTTTTGGTAAAAACTCAACTCCTCGTGTTTGGAGGACAAAGAATGCTGAGTTGCATCCAAAGAACACCATACCTACTGTGAAGCATTGGGGTGGAAACGTCATGCTTTGGGGCTGTTTTTCTGCAAAGGGACCAGGACGACTGATCCGTGTAAAGGAAAGAATGAATGGGGCCATGTATCATGAGATTTTGAGTGAAAACCTCCTTCCATCAGCAAGGGCATTGAAGATGAAACGTGGCTGGGTCTTTCAGCATGACAATGATCCCAAACACACCGCCCGGGCAACGAAGGAGTGGCTTCGTAAGAAGCATTTCAAGGTCCTGGAGTGGCCTAGCCAGTCTCCAGATCTCAACCCCATAGAAAATCTTTGGAGGGAGTTGAAAGTCCGTGTTGCCCAGCGACAGCCCCAAAACATCACTGCTCTAGAGGAGATCTGCATGGAGGAATGGGCCAAAATACTAGCAACAGTGTGTGAAAACCTTGTGAAGACTTACAGAAAACGTTTGACCTGTGTCATTGCCAACAAAGGGTATATAACAAAGTATTGAGAAACTTTTGTTATTGACCAAATACTTATTTTCCACCATAATTTGCAAATAAATTCATTAAAAATCCTACAATGTGATTTTCTGGATTTTTTTTTCTCATTTTGTCTGTCATAGTTGACGTGTACCTATGATGAATATTACAGGCCTCTCTCATCTTTTTAAGTGGGAGAACTTGCACAATTGGTGGCTGACTAAATACTTTTTTCCCCCACTGTATATGCCATATCTTTCTAACTGTGCTCTTTCACAAAAGCTCCCAACCTACAACCTATATACTTATTATGGACACAGTATGCTTACATTATTAGTTATCTTGTTATTATTTGTTGTTAGTTGTTATTAGTCCCATTCTTCAATTCCATTCAACACCTCCCATCTATCTCTTAACACCATCCATAAAGGATTTCTATTTGCCATATATATTTCAACTGTACTGTGATGTCTTACAAAAGTTATGAACCCTTCTATTCTCATTGTTTCTACAGATTGTGAATTGAAAATATTTTTTTTTGCTAAAAGTATTATTATATTATTGATTGATTGACTATGACTTTTCAGATCACCCAGTAATGCTATCTGCAAGGTTAGCTCCAGGTAAATATTGCAATCCTTTAGCCATTCCTGGACCTGTGTCCAAAAACAAGCTACAAATAGACAGTACCAAAACAAATGATCTAATGATTATGTCTCTTCGCAGCAAAATCTGCAGAGCTGGGAAGAGTGTATCCCCCATATACATAACATTATATTGGTAGCAAGAATTTTATATAATAATTTAAATTGAAAGATTCTAAGTTTTGAATCCGGTGTCGTATCAGTTCATAAACACTATGCCATGGGATCGGTACGTCAAAAATCTCTTCCCAACTATTTTGCAATCTATATGGGAAGGCTGTCAATCCTTTGGTCCTCAAATGAAACTGATATACTTTTTTATTGATCAGTTTTCTTTAACCAATTATGTTCTTTAATGTAAGGCCGACAGACAAGTTCCTTACTTTTTCCCCCTTCCACTTTCCTCTTCCATTTTTGCGGTAAGGCTGCAATTATTTGGTTGTAATTTTGGGTAGAGTAGACATTTCCATATGTTTTTGTTAGCTGCATGTGCGACATAACTCCACCAGTCCTACCGATGATATCAATTACGAAGATTATACCTTTTTTAAACATTTTGTCAAAAAAACAGTTACTTGTTTGTCTGAGGTGATTTGCTGAAATACGGTTACTCCAGAGGGTTCATTAGAACCCCCATCACGCACCGCTGTCATCAATTTCCTTCCAATCTAGCGCCACACGGATTAGGATTAGGAAAATGATGATTGTACTCCGATGAATTTGACAGAAACTATTTTGATTTATTGTAGAACTTGAAATTGTCATTAACTTGTCAACATCATGAACTCTCTGCGGCGGGAAACTTTTAATGCTGGCTTGGTAGCCAGAGTCATATGGCTACTGCTGCATCTGTCATCGCAAGTGACCACTAGCTAGCTAACTGCACTAGGCTACTGGCTGTACATTTTATGTTTCCTTGTTGTGTTCGCTGATTATTAGTTGAATTAGGAAATTATATGATTATCTAACACAGCAATATCTCATTTTACGTTGTGGTGAAGAGACAGTGTGCTAACTACTGTACTCTTGTCGCAGTTTTGGCCAGTCAGACTAACAGTAAGCATGTGCCCCAGTTTAACTTTTTGTTTTCACAGGTTTGTTAATTTTGACTCCATGTTATGAGGTTCTATAGTTTGTGTCATAATTGGTTGGCTGTGCTCACTTTGCAGCTGTCTTGGATATGTAAGTGAGGCCCTTTTTAAAAAGTTTGTATTGTAACTTTTTTTTGTTTTTTTTGTTTTTTATCCTTACCTGCCATGTCTGCAGATGTGTGCTCTCTGTGGGTTTTGGTGGCTGCTGGGATTCTCCCCTTCAGACAAGAAGGCTTTCACTGCTCCAGAAGAGGATGACCGCACTAGTCCAGTCCGCCAGTGTCTAGCAGGCCACAAGCGCCGGGCCACGCGCATACTGTTGGCTATCCTGTCCCGCCGTTTGCAGAGCGCTCTGGGCTATCCCGTCTGCACCAGCATCGGCCGCTCCTTATCCCCAGGCATGTATAGTTAAGGTTTCCATACAGTGTTTTATCTGGAATGGTAGTGGGGAAGTAGCTATGTTAATGTTTGCTGTTTATTCCAGAGTTAGTCTCCCCCACTAAGCCCTGTGGGAAGGGCAACAAGAGAAGGCATGCTGACATTGATGAAGAGGAGCACCAGACCTGGGTTGAGGCCCTCACTCAGGAGCTAGTGGAGGATGAGGACCCTTCTGTTGATCCTGACTATGAGGTGGGTTCTCCTGCTACAGGTTGCTTTGACTGGGCCCAACCCTGGTTCTTCTCACTTGGGTAGTATACTTGCTTTGAAATGCACGCAATAAACCAATTTCTTCACACTTGTATTCCATGGCATTTGGATGGATTTGACACTTGTGTACCACTCCCAGTCAGTCCTAGCAAACTTCTTGCTTGATAAATTGCTCTTTGCTAAGAAGCTATTTTTGTTTCTTTTTGACCATTTTAGTTGAAAACGTAAGGTACTTAATTGTTACCCAGAAATTATTTGAAATTGAGATAAAGTCTGCATTAGACCTTTAATAGCTTCAGACATGCAGTGTAATAACTGAACAGCAGGTGGCAGTACCTGATTTGGGTTAAGCCTGAATCATCTAGCTGTTTTGAAAGGTGGATGACTTGATAAGATTGCAGTTGATAGTTGTCACCATATGTAGGGAAACATAAGAGGTACAAGCATAACACGAGTACAAAGAGTTGGTTGCTACTTGACCCTTAGGTCTCAGTTAAGTAACATCCTAGTTGAGATACACAAATTACTCGTACACAGAATGCCAGTTAGATCCGGTCTTTGTACTTTTATGGACGCATTCAAACTCAGTTGGCAGCACGTGCATATCTAAGCTAAATACTGTACAGTTCAGAGGATCTGGTTCAGAAATTGAAATGACTGATTTCCATTGTAAAAAGCAAGGTCCTTTGGGTAGAGTTTCTCGGTTAGCTGTCAAACAATGGGTCTGAGTATGTACTGTAATTACATAATTGCCACCCACGGGCCTTCACCCCTCACCTTTATATGCTCATGAACATACACGATGCAAAATGGAAGCATCAAACAGCTTTGTTTCCTTCAACAACAAAAAAACGTGTTTAAATGAATCAGTGTCTCAGATGAAAGCTAAGTGGCTCTGTGGTACTTATGTGTCTGACAGGATACAGAGATGGGGGTCGGGATGAGTCTGCAAAGGGCACCAGTGCCCTCCCCCAGCCCTGTGCCCATGCCCCTCCAGGGTGCCAGGCTCTAGGCTGAAGAGGACCATGTGCCCTCCATCTGAGAGAGAAGTAGGTGGACGGTGGAGCCCCTCGAAGCCCCTTCAATGTATTCCCAGCACTCACCCATTTCCGTCAACAGCCAACTTCTCGCCGTATACAGTGAATCTTCTCTTTCTACATTCTACTCAGAAAGGTTAGCTTCAGGTGGCAGGTAGCCTAGCGGTGGAGAGTGTTGGGCCAGTAACCGAAAGGTCGCTGGTTGGAATCCCTGAGCCGACTAGGTGAAAAATCTGCCCATGTGCAAGGCACTTAACCCTAATTGCTCCTGTAAATCGCTCTGGATAAGAGTGTCTACTAAAATGTAGCTGTGAGTGCACAGTAGGGAAATACGCAGTATATGATACAGTTGAAGTGGGAAGTTTACATACACCTTTGCCAAATACATTTCAACTCAGTTTTAAAACAATTCCTGACATTTAATCCTAGTAAATATTCCCTGTCTTAGGTCAGTTAGTATCACCACTTTATTTTAAGAATGTGAAATGTCAGAATAATAGTAGAGAGAATGATTTATTTCAGCTTTTATTTCTTTCATCACATTCCCAGTGGGTCAGAAGTTTACATATACTCAATTAGTATTTGGTAGCATTGCCTTTAAATTGTTTAACTTGGGTCAAACGTTTCGGGTAGCCTTCCACAAGTTGGGTGAATTTTGGCCCATTCCTCCTGATAGAGCTGGTGTAACTGAGTCAGGTTTGTAGGCCTCCTTGCTCGCACACGCTTTTTCAGTTCTGCCCACAAATCTTCTGTAGGATTGAGGTCAGGGCTTTGTGATGGCCACTCCAATACCTTGAATTTGTTGTCCTTAAGCCATTTTGCCACAACTTTGGAAGTATGCTTGGGTTCATTGTCCATTTGGAAGACCCATTTGCGACCAAGCTTTAACTTCCTGACTGATTTCTTGAGATGTTGCTTCAATATGTCCACATAATTTTACTTCCTCGTGATGCCATCTATTTTGTGAAGTGCACCAGTCCCTCCTGCAGCAAAGCACCCCCACAGCATGATGCTGCCACCCCCGTTCTTCACGGTTGGGAAGGTGTTCTTCGGCTTGCAAGCCTTCCCCTTTTTCCTCCAAACATTACGATGGTCATTATGGCCAAACAGTTCTATTTTTGTTTCATCAGACCAGAGGACATTTCTCCAAAAAGTACGATCTTTGTCCCCATGTGCAGTTGCAAACCGAAATCTGGCATTTCTATGGCGGTTTTGGAGCAGTGGCTTCTTCCTTGCTGAGAGGCCTTTCAGGTTATGTTGATATAGGACTCGTTTTACTGTGGATATAGAGACTTTTGTACCTGTTTCCTCCAGCATCTTCACAAGGTCCTTTGCTGTTGTTCTGGGATTGATTTGCACTTTTCACACCAAAGTACGTTAATCTCTAGGAGACAGAACACGTCTCTTTCCTGAGTGGAATGATGGCTGCGTGGTCCCATGGTGTTTATACTTGCGTACTATTGTTTGTACACATGAACGTGGTACCTTCAGGTGTTTGGAAATTGCTCCCAAGGATGAACCAGACTTGTGGAGGTCTACAATTTTTTTCTGAGGTCTTGGCTGATTTCTTTTGATTTTCCCATGATGTCAAGCAAAGAAGCACTGAGTTTGAAGGTAGGCCTTGAAATACATCCACAGGTACACCTCCAATTGACTCAAATTATGTCAATTAGCCTATCAGAAGCTTCTAAAGCCATGGCATCGTTTTCTGGAATTTTCCAAGCTGTTTAAAGGCACAGTCAACTTAGTTTATGTAAACTTCTGACCCACTGGAATTGTGATACAGTGAATTGTAAGTGAAATAATATGTCTGTAAACAATTGTTGGAAAAATTACTTGTGTCACGCACAAAGTAGATGTCCTAACCCATTTGCCAAAACTATAGTTTGTTAACAAGAAATTTGTGGAGTGGTTGAAAAACGAGTTTTAATGACTCCAACCTAAGTGTATGTAAACTTCTGACTTCAACTGTATGTACAGTATGATATGGGCACATTTCTATATGCACTATGGAACCAAGAACCACATTTGTATTAAACTTAGCAACTAGTGAAAAACTATACTGTATAGTTTGAACAGAGGTTTGGTAGGAAACCTTTTCAATTGCCAAATCATTTCTTTAGGCTTTTTAGCCTGCCATTTTCTCAGAATAGAGCCAGATGACCTTGCAGAAGACCTACAGTGAATTGGAATGAATTAAAAGCTGTGTGTTTTTGGTTGTGGGAGGGAGAGAGGATGATGCAGTGAGAGCTGGATACAAAGCAGGGACTGATGGTCTCTTGGGATTCCCTTGGCTGTCTGGGTGTTTGAAGGAGAGCCTGCTCAGTCTGGGAGTGTTTATACTCCGCTCTGGAGACAGTCTGCCTGGCTTTACACCACAAGCACTTCCTCACTCTCTGCCTTTCAACTACAATGTGCTTTTGAAAGGTGCTGGGAAAGGTAATGTGAGAAAGTACGTGTACATGCATAGTTTCAGCTGTGCAAGGTTATCTGGGCAGGTGGGCAATTCTTCCGCAGTGTGCTGCTTTTGTCGTGGCACTTTGTCCCCTAATGAATGACATTGCGCAGAGTGATGTGTCAAGGTAATCAGTTTACATGCTGTGTTTTCGCACTGGTGTTTTTATGTCTTACATCATTCAGATGCCCACACTAACTTCCATACAGAATGCTTAATGAGAGGCACTGTTCAGGCCCCCTGTGGCTTGGCACAGCACACTACAGCCATCAGCACATTGTGACATGGGCCCATTGTCACCTTGACTGAATGATAACAGGTGCTGCCTGCTCCCCAGGCACTCTGTCTGACCTGCAGGCTATTATCTGCTGGATTACAATGTGACTCTTTAATGTCAGGCTTTAAAAGGGCCCTCGTACTCACTCTCCCTCCTGTCTGGTTTGCTTAATATAAGGAATTTGAAATTATTTTTACTTTTGATACTTTATATTTTAAAACAAACCTTTTAGACTTTTACTCAAGTAGTATTTTACTGGGTGACTTTTACTTGAGTCATTTTCTATTAAGGTATCTTTACTTTTACTCAAGTATAACAATTGGGTACTTTTTCCAACACTAGAGAAACTGTGTTGAAATCGAAACAAAATAATCTGAATGCACTGAAGGCCAGTAGACTGGGTTTGGCTTAGCGACGTGCAACTTGTTTTGGTCCATCAGCTCCTCATACCTTCACACAGGATTATAAGGCCTGGCTGTACTCTGTCCTGAAGGTAGCTGGCCTGTTGTGGTCAGTAACCCCTCAGCCTGATTCACTGAGGTGAGAAGCCAGAGATCAGGGCTTGGCTCTGGCCTGGTGTGTGGTGCCCTCACCTCTCCCCCTCAGCCTGACCATCATGACAATTACTCCCACACAAGCAGGAGACCCTCTTAGAATGAAGATGGATCAAAAGAGGACACTGTGCACCCGCAGCAGACATTCTAGACTCCGATTCTTTCAAGTTGTTAATGAGCAAACTTATGAATGCATGGTTAATGTCTGAACTGTCTGTATCAAAGAGCTGAGAGGTACCGGTAACTGCCAAAATAAAGGAAACACCAACATAAAGTGTCTTAATAGGGCGTTGGTCCACCACGAGCCAGAACAGCTTCAATGCACCTTGACATAGATTATACAGGTGTCTGGAACTTTATTGGAAGGATGCGACACCATTCTTCCACAATAAATTCCATAATTTGTTTTGTTGATGGTGGTGGAAAACGCTGTCTCAGGCGTCGTGCCAGAATCTCTCATAAGTGTTCAATTGGGTTGAGATCAGACGTTTTACATCGATTTGATGCTCGTCAAACCATTCAGTGACCTCTGGTGCCCTGTTGATGGGGGCATTTTCATCCTATGGGGGCATAGCCATAGTAGCTAAAATAATGGCCTGCCCACCATTTTTATACATGACCCTAATCATGATGGGATGTTAATTGCTTAATTAACTCAGGAACCACACCTTTGTGGAAGCCCCTGCTTTCAATATACTTTGTATCCCTCATTTACTCAAGCGTTTGAGAGCGGAGACTGCCTCACAGTTTGAGAGCGGAGACTACTTGTTAAGTCCTTATATTTCACAATTAGGGCCAGGAATGCAGATGGCCTGTTCTGATTGTAATTTGCTTGATTGGAGGACAGGCTCTTTGATTCAATATGCTTACAACACCTGCATTACGTGCCACTTTATGTTTACATCATGCTGATTTCATTACAAGATAATTGCGAGGACAACTTCTGACATTATGTTTTTGTGAAATTGTATCAATCATACATTCGAACTGGTGTAAAAAAAAGTACCTAATTAAAAACTAGACTTTCTGTTAGATGCTTTTGGAACTTTCACCATGAATAATGATGATGCCGCTTGTACAGAGACCTCATTTGCTTGTAGCTAACGACTTCTGGCCTCTGGATCCAAACACCAAAATAGCTCCTATTAAGACTGACGGCCAATTACAGCCATTTTACAACTGCATTTAGGCTGCGTTTTCCCCCCACTAATTGATATTTTGACCAATCACATCAGATCTTTTCACATCATATCTTTTTCAGAGCGGATCTGATTGGTCAAATGTGAGAAAAAAAAAAGCAGAATTGGGCTGCCTGTGTAAACACAGCCTTTGATAGGCCTTCCTATGATTCCCCTGATTGTCATTGAATGTCCAATGCAGCCGTTTTGATCTAAATATCAAATCATTTCCGGTTAACAGTTAAGTACTTTACTGTGATTGTTTTAAATTAAAATGGTCCCCCCAAAAAAAGCGTCTTAGGCAAAGAGTAATTTCTCAAGCAAGAATTTTGCTAGGATTGTCTGGGAGTGGCCTGAGTGAGGAGCCTAATGGGAGGGATATGTAATCTGAACTATCTGTTATTGGCAGAGAGGTTTGAAACTCTCTTTGTTATTGGTCTATTAACTTATACCGCCTGGTGACGTCATCAGGCAGGCCAAAACTCCATCCCACCAAAACAGGCAGAAATTT